ATCCGATCATGCCAACAATTAAATTCAATGAAATTAAATTTCGCAATTGAATTTCATTTTCAGCATGCTTGCGAATTACTCGAGCGTTGAGGCTTAGCTAAGTAGTTATCTCCCTCTCACTTTTCCCTTTCGCCTCCTCTTTTCTGATTTTCACTGGCCCACCAATTTATCTATTGCTTTTTTCCTTATTTACCGACATTTTTTATGTGTATGCTAAAATAATTGGTCATCGTAAATTTCAGTGTTAAGTCGAAATACTCGAGAAATCAACAATTTCGAAATACACAACATGTGTAGAGATTATTCATATTTTAAAAATATACGAGGTAGTACAAATTTTAAGTATAGAAATAACTCAAGATTTCAAGGCGTGATTTATAAAATTATAAAGAAATGTTCCTATTCTTGCGAATACTTATAATGGCTTTAGTGAACCAAAAATATACTTTTGTAGTGTTTACAATTGCAGACAGAATAGATTATTTCAATTCAGTTTCTTTAGTTTATGAGGCACCGAGATAAATGAAATATAATACTTTTATTAATGATCTCAGCAGGATGTTTATCTTTATGGCATATTCAAAAACCCACTAAAATAATGAATCAACAATCCCACAAACATCCGCTGAGTTCATCATCATGTTTGACAACAGGTTCCTTGGGCAGAAGGAACCCATCTTTTAACTTTTACAAACAATAAAATTTTGTGTTGGTTCGGTTTCCGCTACTCATGTTTATGCCCCATTGACTTACACTCGAGTTGATCAAAATCGAGGGGTTTGGAGAAGACGATGACGACGAAGATGACCAAGGGGCGAGGCCGGTTTCATTGGCGAGCAACTGAGTTTGAGGTTTACGATATTCTATTTAACGGCTCATCGGCTATTCGAGCAGAGATCGTCTACGGATCATGCCCCCGAGACGGGATCTCGAGGTTTTCCTTTGTTCCCAGCCCGCTGCAATCTTAACGTGCGGTTAAGGTGAATGACTAACGGCCAGCAAAACTATGACTAACTGGTCTCAGGTAGTAGGTTGTTTGATCAGTTCATGTGTTATAGATGGAAAATGGTCTGTGGTTGCTGCACATTTTTAGCAGATTAATTATTATTAATATTCCAAATTTAAAAGATTCCATAGATGGTGAATATATAATATATTTTTTTTGGTTTCTCAGGTTTTATAAAAAACACTTTGTGGTTACTGTCATTATTTTGGAGCTGTTCATTAAAAAATTGTTAAATATTAAGTGAGTCACCAAATTTTATTGATGTTAAACAAATTTTTTTTCTTTTGTTTTTTTATTTTTTTTTATAAGGTGTCATAAATAATATGGGTACGATATAGAATACAAACGTATTAGTTTTGTTACCAATTTTTATTTATTTATGATTATTTATTCTTGCCCGCTTAACCAACTTTGAAATCAACCCAAGATCATATTTTCAACACAATTAGAGCATATTAAGTGTGGCAAGAGCGAGTGAGAGGTGTGCAGGGCGAGACAAGGAGGGAGAACGTACTTCTTGTTACTTTTTTTTGTTTCTGTTTTGAGAATATAAATTAACGCAACAATTAACAGAAACGAGTTTTCGAGTTGAGGGGAGAAAACAGAATGAAGTGAAGAATCTGGCCATGGATGATCTTTCGCATTGTTGTATGTTATTGGGTGGAAAAGGGGGAATCATCGGAGAAATAACGAAGGGGAAAGACTGGAGTGGCAAAGCTGCTTTATTGAACAACACAACTCTTCAACTATTTATGCCGGACCCCCGCTGAAGTGGCAAGTTCTGTTCGGTTCGTTTTGGATTTGTTTTGAAAGTAGGGGATCGAAAACCCAACCAAGCGATGGATAGAAGGGGAGGGACTTTAAAGAGTTCGAAAACAACAGAAATAAAGTGGAGAAGTAGTAAATGTTAATTTTATGCCACATCGATGATGACTTTAATTCTACAAACGCAACTTGAAAGTCTTAGCAAGCACATGAGGAAAACCGCAGTGGAAAATTCCAGCTTCTATATATCCAAAGTTTTAGTCCGGCAAAACACTTGTTATTTTAGCCATTCAATTTTACAATCTTCATTCTACACTTGAGAAATTAGTAAAGGAATCAAAACCAATGCTTAGGTTGTTGCCATAAAGTTGATGTGTTATTATTAAGTTTTCGGTTATTGTGGCTATGAGATGCCTTTTGTAGACTGTTTTTTTAGAGCTATTCGCCTCTGGTTTGATGTGGTCTTGTGGTTTTCCAGTTTTAGTTTCTTGTTCGGGTTTTCGGTTTTACTCTTATTACTATTCCACTTGCGAGCTGTATGGCATTGAAGTTTTGCATTACCCCAGACTTTAGGCAAATTCTGTCTTCGCTAAATTCGCAATCGCTGGCGTCATTTTTGCCCCACGAAGTTATGTGACAAATTTTCCATAAATACATTTGGCCAGCGGGCGAGAGAGTTCAGTAACCTCCATCTGAACTGACCTATTTGCGGCGATTGCCAAGCGGGAAAAGTGAGCGAGAAAGTGAGCCATAACATCCCGGAATAAGAAGTCAAATTGGGTAAAGACGGCACGTTTTTCCTTGGAAAATCTAAATATTAATTTATATATGGAAAAAACTCAGCTTTAAGGAAATTAAAGAATATGAATTGTAGATATTTATTCAGAGACAAATATAATTTTCATTAATAAAGATGCATTTTTTTCATAAATACTTTGCAACTATTAATATTTTTATATATTTACATATAAACCTTAATAAATTTTAAATATAATTAATTGTCTCATAAAATAGTCCATATACCTTGTTAAATGTAAATAAACGTCAGTATCTTTTGAAATCTTATAGCAGACCATTATTTCTTTCGCACACTTATTATTGTATGGATATATTTATGGGCGTGCAAAGTTTCCTTCCCCTTCGTTTTATTATTTATTTTTGGGGGTGTGCGGACAAAATGTTTTTTGCACTGATGAGTGAGGGAATTTTATTATGCATACATACTTGGATTTTCCCCTGGCATTTTTTGAATTCTTTGCTCTAGAATTCCGCATACTTTCGATTTCGATAATAAGTTTTCGCTTAATGTTCTTCTGCGGCAAACGAAACTCATTTAGAGAAAACCAACCAAATGACAAATGAAATTCAATTAAGTTTTATAGAAAAAGACGGAAAAAGAAAACCATTTTGAGTGCATAAAATTAATGGCAACCGACCGTGATAAAAGTGGCCCAAACCCGTTTAGAATCCAAGCTCGGATAATTTATTCATGGATTCATCATTCGATGCATTGTTCGATAGCCCAAACACAAACTTTTACTTTTCATCATTGTTTCGGCCCATTGTGAGTGCTCATCTCCGAAGACCCTCGAAGAGATCTCCCCCTGCAATTAATCTTCACCAGCCCCGAACAATCCAATTAGATAACCCCGGGCCTACTCACGTGTGGGGGCAGTGAAAGTTTACGGCTCGTTCTAAGCCACTGGACCAGTCCGGCATCCGAAGTCCGGAATACGGAGACTCGCATGATCGCAATTTGCATAAAACACTCATCTAATAAAAGCCCTTTGCAGTGGGCAGCGGCTCGAGTGCTCGATCTCGATTGGAATCGTTTCGTACGTGGAAATGCGTAGAAATCAGATCAAGTTTTTATTTACTGGTACCTTTTCGGCGATTGATGATGATGATAGGGTTCGCGGTCTTTATATGGGTTGTGTTTCACAGCGAACCAATTATTTTCATTTTAAAACTGCATCGGAAATGGTAAGTGGCATACCCACTTTGTTTACATTTAAAAGCTATCGTTCTGAATTTTCAGTACTCGAGTTTTTAATGAATTTATGGTTTCTTTGTGGAATCCCTGGAATCCTGGAACCCAAGCCCCCAATATGTTCTAAGCCTCGCTAACTCAGTTATTTGGGCGTTATTTAATTGTAGACCTGCTGCAGGCGGGCTCTACTTTCGCATAAAGGTCTGACCTCTTCCCTCCGTGCGTTTTTCCACCCAGCTATCTACATTTTCGCCGGGCCATTTCTATGCAAATCAGCTGAGAACACGCACACATCAGTGGGGGTTCCAAAGGAGGCGAAGAGCCGGGATGTCCTCATATACTTATAATGGGGCACCGGCTTTCAATACACCGCATGATATGCGATATGGATATGCAAATTCAAAGGGGTTAAGGTGGGAAAAAGGGGGGCGGGGCGGGAGGTAGGGACTGCGATGGGAAGGCCTAGCCCAATGTGCAAATTCCTTTGGCCACGGGCTTGGCAGGAACGTGACAAAATGAAGTCTGTTTTCGGTATTCAAGCCTTACGTAATGCGCCTGTTCGGGTCTTTAGTTCTGAGCCATTGTAGTGCCCGAGGATAATCAAGATTTACGGTCGACTTTCACCGTTATCACCGGCCAATGGCTGGGAAATCCAGGAGCCGTCTACGGATGGTAGATTGTGTCGGGGTTCATGTTCGCTTTTTGGGTCATTGACCGCCCAATGTGTTGATTGATTCTAAGGCAGGAGACCTATTGAAGGCACACTGCAAAGTAAAACTAGGTAATACCAGTTTCAAGCTTTCATTAAATCTCTGGAATGCAATATAATGCCGTCTTATAAATAAATCTAATTCTACACACAGAATTGTTTATTGTTTAAATAGAATACTGTTTAGGTAATAATCCATTTAAGGAGCACAACATTGGCTTATTATATATATAGTATTTATCTACAACGTAAAATAATTATTAACTAACCGTTTTGTTTTGACAATTATTGATGATTTTTTGTCTTTGTGTATTGTTTTTGACAAGTACATATTTCTCTTGGCCATAGATCATTGTGCGTTTTCGATGAACATGAACTTGATGAGTTCATAAATAGCTTACAGTTCTTGGGGATACACATGCCCCACACATGTGTCCCTCGAAACCAGCTGATCCAACCTTGGAACTCACACATTTCGATTGCATCACTTCGCCCTCAAATACTCAATTCATTTTCCTGCTTCTTTTTAGACTACCAACAAAAGAGCTTCGAACAATGTAACGACTACTTAAACGATCTAAACACAATCGAAAGGCGGAAAATCATCGTATTGCCCAAAAATAAAATTGAACAGACCTCAAAACCACTTCAGCGAAATCAGGTGAGTTGGGCAATGGTTTGGAATTGCTTCTTTAATTGGGAAGCACTCTGAATGGTAAATCATCATAATAATTCGCTTTGATCTGTCTTTATTTTGGTGTTTAAGTTTTTCGAAATTCTTACAAAATACTGATAAGCAAGAAGAACCATTTTAAATTGCGTTAAAAAAGATTCGCCAATAAAAGAAAATAGGCCACCCTATGGAAAAATTACCCACCAGTTTTTATGACTATGCTTTAAACCCTGGAGTAAGACTTTTTGTCTGTCTCGTTGGTATTAAGCAAATTTATGTTTATGCGAGGAAGGAACTCTTCAAATGCCACTGCACGTGTAGCATTAAAATGTAAAATGTACGAGTATATATATGCTAATATATATACTTATTCGCACCTGGCCGACGTCTCTGTTGTTATGGTAATGTGAGCTTCGTTTTGGGTTTTATTCTGATTACAATAACATTTTTGCCTTCATTGTTTGCAGGCAGCCAAAGACCTTGTGCTCAGATCGACCTTGAATCTGTGTGTAATTCAAACCGTATAATCAGGCTGATTAACCCATATTCCGAAAGCTATTGATAGCTTAACACCTTCTCGGCGGAAAGAAGCAATTACTCATCCAAAGAGGGGGCGACAACCTTGTGATGTCCTCCGTTTTTGATGCCTCAATTTGGCCAAGCCCATAAACTGGGCCTTCGACTTCGCCGGTTTCCTTGACTAATTTCGAGAAGGTGGAAAAGGCTGAACACTTGGTGGAAATTTCCACTAACTTGACCACTCTCGAAAAGCAGAAGGATTCAAGGATTCTGTTGCTGAGAGGAAGGAAGTCGGTTCCTTTTTGCCTTATTTGGATATTCGGTGACAGACTTCTGACAATTTCGTTGACTAGGTCAGGCTCTCTTTTTGCATGGGAATGGATGTGTGTTGGCTTCACTTTTGGTTTCTGCGGACTTAACTGCGACTGCGCAAAGAGAGAGGGAGAGTTATGAAGGTCCTGGCAACATTTAGCTAGCAACATTTGTATTATTATTTATAAATGAAAGATTTCGTCTCCAAATTTAGTTGAAAATAGATTTTTCAGACTGACTTTAACTGAATACCAATGAGACTTCTTTTATCGCTATTAAATCCAATTCGGGCGAGAAATAAACATTTAAGTTGTAAATGAATACCTTTAAAATATTCTAAAAAAAAATGTTTAGATAATTTTCATGATTTTAATTGCACTTGAATAAATTTCGAAAGTTTCTTTGGAAGGCATTTCTTCGACTCTGCAATAGTTCTAGTTACGTTTAAAAGGGCTCCATTATTCTTTGCAACATAAGTCCAGTGAATGTCAAACTTTATGAGCAATGATGCTGCGATGCCGCCCACGCAAAAAGAGCAAACGGGATGGAGAAATAGAGAGAGAAATCTCGCAGTTGCGCTCCTTGACCTTGGGCACGAACGCACCCAAAGACCCCCCGAGTCCACCCGCTCCTCCGAAATCGCTTTACCCTTCGGTGCTGCGAATTCCGGACTCTGATTCCGATTCAGTCGCTCACTTCGCCAGCAGCCACAAGTTGTGGCCACGCGGATGGAATAAAAACGGAGGAAAACAGTGAAGATTGTAAAGTGTGTTCATGGTGAACCTCGAAGATCCCCCGCAATGTCAGCTGGTCCCACCGATTTCGATCTGGATCTGCAGTATGTAAAGGGCAAACAAGTGAGCGGGGGTGCATGCCAATCCCATCTGGCAGTCAATTAAAACGACGCAAAAGTAAACAGCAAATAAATCAACAACAGCATCAGCCAGTGTTCAGAATCTCTGAATCAGCGATTGCTGCGTCATCATCATCATCATCATGGTTATGGCAGCACATTCTTATCGGAACTTTTGCTGACCCCCGCCTATTGATTTCCATCGATTTCCATCTATCATACACAGATTGATTGATAAGAAGGTGGGGACATTTTCATGCGCCGCCCAAATGGGGCTCGGGTTCAAAGTTCGCATTTGTCAAATGGAGCGAAAATGGGGACTGTATAAACACGGGCGCCGTTTGAAGAGCCCAATCAAATAGAAGGAGATGAGATTAAATGGTCCTAGGAAAACAATGGTTTAAAACTCCCCTGGGGCGGTAGATAATTTATTGGTGTTTAGAAACCTCACTTGATAGCTTCAGGAATGAATTTCGAATTAATGAATAAACATTAGGCTATAATAGTCGGTAATAACTCAAGGAGTTTGGTTTTGCTGAATTAAGTCCTTAATTCCTTTTATTATAATATTATAGGTATTTAACAATTTTTAATTTTGATTACCTGCTTTTAATATAATAATATCATTTCAATCGGTTTTATATGTACAAGTTTTTTGATTATTGTTTAACTGGCTAATAAATTAAATATTATTTCCAAATTCAAACAAGTGTTTGTAAATATATGTATACATAAATAGCTGGTATTTGCGAATTCATTTCCTTATCAGCACCACGCCTACTTGGTATTACTTGTTGTGCAACGGTTGAAGCTGGTTAATACGGCTCATTGCGTTTCACTCTACCAAATGTTATCTGAAATATTTATGTTCTCCTTCCTTATATATAAATATTACTTACTCACGCGGTATTTTGTATACACAAGATACATCTATCTCTTGCCTCATAATTAAGTGTTTTCAATGAAGATCCTCAATAAAATAGCTGAAAATGAAAACTAAAAATCATTTAAATCAATATGGCAATCGAGAAATGAAAGTGTGGCAAAATACAATTAATAAAACCGAAATTTGCATGCAGCCGTATTTTCCATTTCTTTCCCCTCCAACTTGAGTTATTAAATTGCATTTTAAATCCCCAGTTTTTGCGTTTTACCAGTTAGAGACGACCTTCAAATGGCCCGAGACGCCCCCGATTCGCGTTTTGTCCAAAGTCGAAGAAGCCTGGTCATTAAAATTGATGACAGATCCATTCAGTCGCCGCAAATAGAGTGCGGTAATACTCCGGAGGTTGTGCACCGTGTGATGTGCGATGAGCATGCACTTTTGTTCATTTGTTTGCTTTTCTTTCTCGGGTTGTGTGAGCTTTCCGGTCAGGGGCACTTTCCTTTTCAATTTGTCCAGCTCTTTAGCTTGGCCATTATGCCACTTGGCCGTTTTGCAATGACGCTTGCTGACCAGCTCGCCATTGGGAATTGTGCTGAAGTGTCGGTAACAAGTGTCTGCACAGGGGAAAAAACATCAACGAAGTGGTACCGAAAAAATCATATTTTTCTTGCCATAAAAACATAATTCAAATTAAACCTATTATCTAATTTGAATCATACTGACTTTAACCAGAGAACTGTGGTTTTCAATTCTAATTAACAAATCTTTCAAAGTAATAATAAAAGTTAGGATTATGGATTAATTTGTGCAAAGCACAAAAAGGCAAATTTAATCGAATAATGATTCCAACAATATTATTCAAAATAAAAAACAGCCCAAACAGTGATCTTTTTCCATAAGTAATTTAAAGTTATTTTCACGAAAACTAAAATCATATTCTGTTCTTATTTTTTCGCCGTGTGGTTAATGCCTTCAACAGATTCGAAATTCTCGCAGCTCGCAACTCGCTTCGAGCTTGAGTTTGTTTTAGAGTTAGAGCCATAATCGGCTTCCTGGCCCATTGTCTGGGCCTCTTCACAATTAAGTTGGCAAATTTGTGTAATGAGCAAGTGCAATTATACAGCCTGCTCCGTGTTTGGGCCCATGCAAATGCCACACATAATTATAGTTTGTGGCTGCTGTAGATACAGTGTTTTGTTTTTTTTCTTTGGGCTGCTTTGGTTTTGGCTTTGTTTTCCTTTGGTTTTCGTTTTCATTTTCCCTGCAGTGTTTGCCCACTTTGCCAAGTGAGTTGCCAGTGAGTAGTGAGTGTGTGCTCATCTGCGAAATGCAAATGAAAGTCAAAGTTAATTTGTTAGATTTTCACGTTGAGATACAAGCTCGCGAGTCCGCGGGCAAAAACTGCGTGACGGTGATGAGTTACTTCTGCGGCTACGGTTTACAAGAAAAAAGATAAAAGTGCCAGACCACGTCTCAATTTTTCCGTCTGCTTCGAGTCTCGTCTCGGTGGAAAAACGATGGAAAATCAAAGGTGGCATTTTCATTGCGGCTTGTCTGCCTCAAAAATGCGGCATACTTTCGGGCTGTTAATCAATTACCGCTGCGGAAATTTAATTGGATTATAAATGGCTGCTGCTCCTCAGACTGCAGGGAAAACTCGAGCTCAAAGCAACTATGTATACTTCCACTTGGAGAAATGTCAGAAAAAAATTTTAGTTTTCTAAATACTGTTTTATTTGAGTTTATACTCTATGTACCTTTTAAGAATGGAATGTCTCCGACAAATTTTTGGAAAGTTTTCTTTTAGGAGACATCTTAAATTAAATAATTTCAAGTGTATCTATCCCAAACACTCCTGAATCATAAACAACAGTATTTAGCGTACTAATTCCCCCTACATGTCCAGCTCAATTGGCAGCTTAAATGAATTTCGCCTTGGCATTCCCCCAAGTTCAATGTCAAATCGTATTCAGTTAGCCGTTCGCCAGCCTATTCCTCCCCCATATATATAATTTATATACCACTCGGACCCCCCAGTGCAGTCATTCCGTTTAATTAACCAATGCTCAAAACGAAATGAACATTTTCCAGTTGTGTTGGCTGTGCTGCTCATTTGTCTGCTCCAATCAACATCGTCGTCATCGCGGTTTTTATCATCATTACGGAGCTCTTCATCATTTCATCAACGCTGCTGCACTGCACCCATAAAACCCACGAGTGTCGACACGAATCCGCGGCTGCAGTTTCCATTTCAATGCGCAAAAAACGCTTAAACTGCAATTTGCGCTTGTTTTTAAAGGGGAGGTGGGTGGTACGAAAGTGGCAAAAGGGGTGTGTTCTCCCCCACTAATTAGCACATCAAATTCTCTGTGCACACGGAACACGTCTACGTGTTTTGGTGGGTGGGGTTTGTTGCCTTAAAGGGGTCAAATGTCAGCTCAACGCGTTATTTGGACAGCCCTCCTAACTGGGTTAACTCGCAGAATCTTTGGAGCGTTAATCCCTCGCCCTAAACCGCACTAATTACTCGCGATATGTACGCAATTTAGCAACCTGCCTAAAAGTATGCAGCTGAAAACGGAGGGAAATGCTCTAATCACCAGTCGAACAAGCCTCTTAATTACCTAAATAAGTTAATTAGTTGCTCTTGGTAAACAGGGATTGCTTAAAAACCTTTAAAGTTTGTGAGTCCAAAGATATATAAAGTAAATTGCTTATTTCAAATTTAATGGCAAAACATTAAATAAATATTTTGTCATATTTTCAATGTTTTTTATAAAATTTAAATGGGTTTTTACCTACAGAAATGAATTATAAACGGATAGTTAGGTAGATATATCTCCATTTTTTATCTGACTGGATATCACTGGACATTTCAGATCAATTTTTTATGAAAGCCAATAGATCTATCGAATTTTTGTAATTCATATTCAATCTTTTAAAGTATAATTTTTATTTTGCCATTTTATTTACATTGCTTGTAATTTATCTTTTATGCTGCAAGATCTTTTCCTTGCCCACACACCAAGGGTTGTCCGACTCGCCTGATGGAATATAAATCTCACAACGTCTGTGAGTGTTCGGCATCCCCGAACTTGGCATGAATCATCCGCCCGGGAACCCATTACTCACGTCCCGTTCGTCCGGCGCCAAATCAAAGCCAAAACAAAGCCAAAATAACGCCAAAGACAGCATAAGACTTCGAGTGAGCCAAAGGCATATGCACATCCACAACGTCTGCAGGCCACAGAGTTCAGATGAAGGGGCACATTCCTAGTTGAAAATAGCTTTCCTTGAAATGCCTTTGGCCCAGCCGCGATTCGATCCAAGCGATTCGAGAGCATCCACTGAACAAATGGAAGATGCATTCTGCTCTTGCAGGGCCACGACATTTATTTATTGGTTGATTCGGGGTGATCAAGTGGGTTGACTGAACTGACAATGGGGTGGGGCTAACCCACAGTCATTTTTGCCATTTAAATCCATGTGATTCACTTTAATGTATAATACTTTGGACGAATGGTCAGTTATTTAAAACAGAAACATATAGATTTGTTGTATTCAATTTTTTTTTCATCTGACGACAATTGTACTGTTTATTTCATTTTTAAATAAATGATCATTCGCCCAAAGTATTAGATATTAATATGAATCACAATGGTCAAACCAAAATTTTGAATCATCGGAAATTGTAAAATTGATTAAACAATTTATTAAGCTCGAAAATGATAATAAGCATACATATCTCAGTAAACCTTAAATTAAACTTAAAACAATATATGGATCATAACTAAATTTACAAAAAGCAATTTACCTTGTTATGAAATACAAAGACATTGCAAATACTTAAGGCGTTTGTAGAAAAGTTCCTTCTTCGTTTTAAAGTTTCGTAAATTATATTTAGTTAGTCTATCTATTTAATAAAGTATTTAGAAAGTAGTTTCTTGGCATTTGTAATATTTTAAAACAGGATTTGCACTCTTTCTTGCTGTCGTCTTTACTTGACAGCCAATTACCTTAATTGTGAAAATCTATATGCTTATCTATAATTAAAAAGTCAGCACAGCAAATTACGCAGCCTTAACAGAGTAATTGTTTTAATGAACTCACAAAGTGAATTAAATACTTCAACTTAAGGACTCGTCTCTTCAACCCAATTGCCCTGTCACACTGGCACCTGGCAGCCTGAGTTTCCGCCAGCTTGTCGTGGCTTTTATCGCGAATGCAATATGACATTTAATTTCCCCCAGAACACCGCCATAATGGAGATCCATTAGCGCGGTGTCGCAGGATGTCAGTGCAAGTGAGTGATGGGTCGAGTCGCGAGGAGTTCTCCGTGGAAGCCATCGCGGAAGAGTCCGTGCTCCCATTTCAGAGGAGATATTTCCATTGCACTAACACCGCATATTTGCAGATGGCAATTACAAATAGTTTTCCCCTTGTTTTCGCCCCCAGCAGCATGTCTTCCGGCCTGATGTCGTGTGTGAGGGAAAACTCGCCGCCGCTGGAATCGGAGTTGGATGCCAGTGCCGGTGGCCCATTGTCGTTGCCGGAGGGCCACGCCCACGCAGTCACCTCCACGCCCATCTCCAGTCCAGGAAACGATGCCCACCAGTCCCCGACCGCCGGTGAGTTACCTAATTGCTCTCATAATACCCCTACGAACTAAGCAAACAAACAAATCCCGTATTCCTGCCCAGGAATTTCTCGTTAGCCGGCGATATTAAATCATTCAAGTGGGGAATGTGGGATTATGAAATTGCCTGGGGCCCTTGGAATCGCTTTCAGTATTGAAGATTTTTCCTTCATGTGTTCATCATTTCGGGAAATCCCCCCGGAGAAAGGTTGCTGATTGCCAAAGGCTTGGGATTTTGGTTTGATTGCCATCCCCAAAGGTTGACTGCAGTTTGGTAGGGGTTAACCTTGGGTTTATGGATGCTTTATGGGCTTTGAACAACTTTTTGATCTGTTCTGAAACTGCCAAAATATTCAATGGCATAAAAAATAACTTAAAGGGCCTTGCCAAAAAAGTTTCCACATTATGGAATCACGTTTGCTAGGTGTGTTTACCATTAGGTCAGGAATTTCATAAAAAAATTACATAAAAGGATAATGAAATTCTATACATTTGCATAAGAAAATGCATCCCCATTTGACACAAAAAGGTGCCCCGATAACATTATTAATAATCATTTTAGCGAGAATTTCATTGTTTCTTAGTTATATTGTACTTATTTACAATATATTTGTAAAATTTATAATATTACGGTCGAGGGGGGAAGGGCGCTTTAGCAGCTACCAAGCGTAATAACGTAAACTAAACTATGATTTTATTTACTTTAATGTAAAAGTATCCCTAAAAAATAATAATAAAATAAAACCCAAGTTGGTAAGTGATAAGTGGTTCTTAAGAGAGAGAGATATTAAAATCGTATCTTATTAAAGTCAAAGGAACTTCCTATACTCAGCCTCGGCTGCAGATTGTATTACATCACTTGCCAGAGAAATGCCATCGATCATATGGAACGAGATAGGCGCTCTGGTCTTCCTTGAAAAAGTAAGTGCCCCAGCTTTGTCTGCAGTGGCTTTGCAGAGTTCAGAGCTGTGAACCTCTGCAGATACGGATAGTTAGGAAAGTGTGCAAAAGTCGCAACAAAGCCGCACTATTGTGAACACCCTATAGGGTAAAGGTTTATCCGACTTGGCCAGATGGCTTGGTACAAACCAAATAGGGAGAAGTATGTAAGACCGCTGGAGTTGGTTCGTTAGGTTGTTTCGTATGTGCATAATTAGACGGATGTTTTGGCTTTCGGTTGTTTGTTGACGCCACCTCCCCCTGCCACCTCCCAGATTCAAATACAGATGCAGATACAATGAGCGAGAGATAAAAGTGGCCATAATACATATTCAGATTGAGCCACCCATGTGGCGGGTGTACAAACTACTAGTGTATGCATGTACCTTAGTTCACATGTGAACCGGCCTTTGTCTATTTGTTTTCGTTGGGTCCGCCCTCATATAGCCACCGACAACTGAATAACTGGATAATGTTTATATAATTGTGGGTAATACTAGCTACACGTGCTAATTAATGCCCCCGACTTTCTACTGTTAATGCAAATGCACAGCGAAAATCGACCACAAAGGTTCTTGCTTTGGTTTCGTAATGGGAATAGGAAGCTTTTTCCATTTCGGGCCACTCGAATCGTGGTTGTTATGACAACACCCACAAAGAAATGCCATCAACAATAACGGACCGGGTACAAACTACTAAATTTCAACATGAATAAATGTGCATAAACATTAGGTTCGTGTCGGATCGGTGGACAGTGGGTGAAATCACATTGCGGGCATGAAGGCTATATTGAAAATGTATGCCAACTATTAGTTCGAACCCGATTGTTTTACAGAAACTAGTCGGTTTTTAATTCATATATTTAACTGAACTTTGACAATCATTTCAATTTAAGAATTCAGCAATTCGGGTATGTAACTTCCTTCTTCATTCGTGTTTAAACCACAGAGTTGTTTCTGAAATACATATCTCAAGGAATAATAATAATAAGCCACCACCATATTCCCAACTATTCAAAAGTTAAGTTCAGAAATTAAGTTAAAAATGTATACAGTACTTAAAAATAGCTGTTTTCTACTTTAGAGCTCATATGTTAGGAATGATAAGAAAAACGTTAAAAGTATGATTCGGTTAGGATTTTAATTATTTGCAAAATAGAATTCTTGCTTGTTATATCTTTAAACTGAATAAATCCGTGATAACATTGTATATACACAGTGTCATTTCATCGCTGTGATGATATTAATACGGCAAGTAATATTAAAGCTCTTATAAAATATAAATCAAATCGAAGGACTTAATTAATAAAAAAACAAGAAAGGAAAGCTAGCTTCGGGCGGAGCCGAAGTTGAAATACCCTTGCAGAATATTCTGCAAATTATATTCTCCAAAATTATTCATATGATGCATTCTTAATACTCATAAAAAATCCCAGCTTCCTAACTTTAAAAACACCAAAGTTATGGCATTTCCAATCGTTCAGTTATATAGCAGCTATAGGATATATTCGGCCGATCCTTATGAAATTTGGTACGTCGGATTGATTGGCCAAATATAAAACTTATAGAAGGTCCCAACTTCCTAACTTAACAAACACCAAAGTTATGGCATTTCCGATCAATCAGTTATATGGCAGCTATAAGATATAGTCGGCCGATCCCTATGAAATTTGGTAGGTCAGATTAATTGGCCAAATATAAAACCCATAGAAAATCCTAACTTAACAAACACCAAAGTTATGGCATTTCCGATCAATCAGTTATATGGCAGCTATAAGATATAGTCGGCCGATCCCTATGAAATTTGGTAGGTCAGATTAATTGGCCAAATATAAAACCCATAGAAAATCCTAACTTCCTAACTTCACAAACACCAAAGTTATGGCATTTCCGATCAATCAGTTATATAGCAGCTATAGGATATAGTCGGCCGATCCTTATGAAATTTGGTACGTCGGATTGATTGGCCAAATATGAAACCCATAGAAGGTCCCAACTTTCTAACTTAACAAACAGCAGAGTTATGGCATTTCCGATCAATCAGTTATATGGCAGCTATAGGATATAGTCGGCCGATCCCGGCCGTTCCGACTTATATACTGCGTGCAAAGGAAAGAAGGGTGTGTGCAAAGTTTGAATTCGATATCTTTAAAACTGAGAGACTAGTTCGCGTAGAAACAGACAGACGGACAGACAGACGGACAGACAGACGGACAGACAGACGGACAGACAGACGGACAGACAGACGGACAGACAGACGGACAGACAGACGGACAGACGGACATGGCTATATCAACTCAGGAGGTGATCCTGATCAAGAATATATATACTTTATAGGGTCGGAGAAGTCTCCTTCACTGCGTTGCACACTTTTGACCAAAATTATAATACCCTCTGCAAGGGTATAAAAATTCCTTATAGATTTTTAAATTAAATTTTATTAGCTTTTTCAATGGTATACTGTTCAGGCTAGTAATATTTAAGTTGGGATAGAAGCATATGTACGTTAAATAAACATCTGGTAGTTAGATTTTCTACTGCCCTTTTTTTGCTTTCTCAATAGTCCTAATGGCCCACTGTGCAGGGTCTGATGTTAACAGCCTAACAGCGCTCTGTTAACTGCTCAGACGTCTTGCAGACACCTGCAGTGGGCCAAGAAACGCTAATCAGTCCGAATTGGCAACCCAACCTGGCCAATAAGCCCAGTACCGCACTCGCCGCTGTCGATGACTCGATTCAATTCATTTCAGCCGAGTTCAGTTGAGTACGCTTTTTCAGTTCGGTTTTTTCTGTTTGGCGGGTCTGCTCGGCCTTTTCGCTTCGTTTCGTTTGCGTAGATTTCAATTTCAGTTCCCGAGAGTGAGTGTTTGAGTGTGTATTGGGGGGTCTGTTATTTCGATTTCCACGGCGGTCTTTCGCGTTGTCCCATTGATTCAATTCATTCTGTGCGCTCCGCTCCACCTGAACAGGTGAGCAATTTCGCTGCCGAACGCGCCGGTTATCCCACTAATTAAATTGCCATCGCTGTCGCTGATTGCATTTGCAATTGCAATATTCAATCGAACGCGTAATCCCCATCGCAATCCGCGTGCGATCAGCGCGAATCCCAAAGATACAAAGTTACATCAAAAGCGAACAAAGTTTAATCAATAATATCGGAAAAAGTTAGGCACTCGAGTCATCGAACTAAGTGCAAAGTTGTGTGTGCTGATGAGTGAAGTTAAAGTAAAGCAGATACATATTCCTAGAGATATATGCCTTATTGTGTCTTCTAACTGAAACACGCTTGTTTACAATAGGCAACAATCAGTAAAGTAAACAATTCGCGGGAATTCTTAAGTTGAAAAAAAACATCTGCCGCTATTTTCGGCTGGATACATATTTAAACAGGTAATAAAAATTATTGTATTTTTCGGACTAGAAAGAAGAGGAATTAATAAAAATTCGGATGATACTTAACCCCTTTTTGTTTTGAGTCAAATCAAATTATTTGTAACGCCCGTCCGCACTTTTTTCTGACTGTTGAGTGATTTGAAACAAAGCCAGTTCAGAATCGTACAGTCCAATTAAAACGACCAATGGGCATATAGTTTAACATATTTATACTTGCCCCACAAAATCATGGGCCATTATATAAGTTGACATGAGTTTGGGGCTTATCAAGCGATGATGATGATGTAGTTTGGGTTCAATCCCAGCTCGCGCCTCAAATAAACCTCGTTACGAGGAGCTGGAGATTGGGGCAATTGGCCAGACGCCTCTAATTGAAGTGCCATATGAGTTGTGTAATCGATTCGCTGCGTACCGCTTGTTGTTGTGATTTGTCGCGTTCGAGTGCGAACACATCAAATAAAGGCACTACCTTTCGGCCAGGCCAATACTGATAAGCCCGTGGCCACCGGCACGCAGACGTCTGATTGCAGTCGACGTCTTCTGGTCTAAAGATTGTCGATAGGGCTTCTCTGAAAGTGGACTTGATAAACCCTTATATAAAATGTTCAGAACGGAAAGCCGGAAAGTTGACTAACATCGCAAAGAAAGGTGTTTAAGTACATCGCTTGTTAAGTTTGACGCAGTCACTGGAGAAATCTAGTTTATGTACATTTATTATTCACAAGTACTTTTTGCCAAGCAACGCCATATCTTACTTTTTCTAATAAAAACTTTTATTTATACATTAATTCGATTTTTTTTTGAGAAATTATGTAGACATAACAATTAAGCTCAATTAAAAAAATATTTTATACTGAAACTACAAAAATACTTCAATAGCAATACCCTGTTATAAAAAACCATTAAAACTCTTAGATATATACAATTTAGCTTGCTGTTTATATTGATATTGGAATATTATGTTTGTCATTATATATCATTATATATCTTTCGTTCTTACAATGCGAAAACTGGTAAATCTTTTGGGATTTTGCACTCAAGTAATACACCATAATAAAATTTGTAGAGGGTTTTAATTTTATTTTCTATTGCAAGAACTATAAAAGTTCTCTGATAGCCCTAGTCCTCATTTATTTATAGCTAATGGGTATTATGTCTAATCTCTATTGGCGGGAATGCACCGATACCAACAGAGGACTATATCTCGGTTTCTATTTGAAAGAATTACGCAGCAGTTGATTGGAAATTCAGCGATCATTCGCAGTGTTGATGTAATTAATCATACGCCTTGTTGGTTTCTTTGACCAACGAACTCAACGAACCTTGGTTAATCCATCGGCATAACATTCAATTCTCGAGGCTTACAGCATTGCAATTTACTGTATGCACGAGTAAAGCCAACATTTGAAGGCCCCGAGACCTGTTTTTGCTTTGGCTGCGGGAGTTGTGCAATTCTTGGAGCTTTTGTCTACCTCTTCGGGGCCTCGGGTTCTTGTTCTCCGTGGTGGCTCGCTATTTTTATTCCACGCAAGTGAACTCAGCACTTGTTAAGCGGATAAGCCTCCCACGTGGGGTGTTCCAAGGGGGCGGCCGGGCGGTATGTGGGCGGGGCCACTTGACCTTACCCAATACAACAATCCCAAGAGCTGGTCGAGCTCACATCCGCTGGCAAAAGGTCTCCAATTACTGCAACTGGCTGAAAAGTTGTTCGCCATTTGATTTGCACAATTTGCATGTTGAGTGTGGGGCAACAACTTTTTGCCAATGATTAATTAATAAATGTCGAACCCACTTGCCAGCAGCAGCCGAACCTTTATGGAATCGCAAACTCAGAATCGAATGGCAATCGGTGTCACTTGAACACCTCGGCGAGCCCACGTGGGCACTCGAAATAGCTATTCAGGCGAACATTAATCCCAAGGCATCGGTTGCCAAATTGAAAAGCCCCAAATCAGTTTTGATGAATTACCAAAGCCAAGCCAAAGATGACAATGACGCCGATTTCGCCCACATTCGCGGAAAAAGCGAAACCCAAACTGATGACAGCACACAAAGCCAAGCGAACAATACGGGATCTCAAGTAATAACAAATCTTGCTCAATAGACTTTAGATAAATTAGAAATAATGTATCCACAATGCTGATGTAATCGGGATTGCCTCACAAAGTGAATCACAGCTCTGTTAGACTGAACAGCTTCAACCTTCCAATTAAAGACGAATCTTTGTTAATTTCTTTAAAGAACTTTGGCCCGGTGAAGAAATAATTTCATTCTGGGGGCAAAAAAAGTCTGATTGCTGACCCAATTAGCCATTCCATAAATAAACAATTTTCACTTGTCAGAGAGGGTGGTAATACATCCCCCTCGGGCTGTTTAAATTCCATTAGCCAGGTCCCCAAGCAATTTGGAGGCCAGCGAGCAGACAACCAGACATCCCAAAGGGCAATAAATAGAATGTCCTGCCAGTGGGTCTCCCTATCCCTTGGTTAATATATTTACGAAGCGTGTTACTTCTTTTTTCATGACTAAGCAAGCGATGACCAGCCCCAACGCAGGTGAAATTAATCATTAAAATCAAGCCATCACAAAAAAGCATAAATGAAGTATTCGTACCCATGACTACCAATGTGTTTTGGCCATATACAAATATATATTTATATTTATACATATATATATGTAGTATCTTTAGGTGTTCGCGTGCCGCGGCCCCAAAACGTGACCGTTTTTTGTGATTAGAGGTCGAAGCTTTCTTGACAGAGCTATTTGATTTTTGTGTTTTTGAAATTCTTGTACTTCCGTTCAGTTGGGTTCTTTTCTCTAATTAATATATGGACTTACTTAAGCGGGAATGCAGACTTTCCATTGGGAGACGGGTATTTGTTTGTTGAACTTTCATTTCTGGTAATGACACACAAACTGTTGAGCGTGACTCACTTGGGAGATGTCGAATTTCAGAGATGACTAAAAGCTTATCACTTTGCTTAAGAATTAATGAGGTCACCAGAAGTGGGAATGCATATTATTGGTTATAAACGCATTTCATAGTCCTGTTTTCTCACCTTAATATCTAGGTTTTAATAAGTACATATGTATATATTATGTTGAAGATTTGATATCACAATAGTATAAGTTATAACAAAATAAAAAAATAAATTGTTAAATTGTTAAAGCCAGTACAAACTTTAGGTCGTAATATCTACACTTCACTTAACTGTGATGCACTGACATTCTTACTAGATTGTGTTCCTACATGTGTACCTTTCATTTCTTTATGATCGATAAGCAATTACCAGCCATCGTTCGCTTTTTCTTTCTTCTGCCTTATCGGCCATTAAAATTGTTTATAAAGTTTTGAGGTCTACGGCCATAAAATGAAAGAGATATAGAAGGCAATGCAGCCATTAGAATTCAATTAATGTGGCTTTTCATGTTTAGCTAATTGCACTGGTTGGACACATTGAGTATTTTGAATATACATACATATTTAGCGTAAAGATTATCAACCCAGAAGTTTTGAAAATATAGTATACAAGCAGTTTGTAGAGATAAGATATGACCTTGTCGAGTAATTATTAAAGCTGATTTTGCACGTGGTGTCCCATTGGTCTTATCGACACTGGCCCCATATAAGCCCTCTCTGTCACTCTTCCGATCTCCCTCTATTTCCCTTTCACTCGCCTGGGAACTTCCACCCATTGAGAGGTCTTCAACTTTTGCCTATTTATGGGCATGTTTGTGGTACTATTCTTTTCGATTTCGACCATTTATTGTTTACTTCTTATCACTCATTCTGTTCTTACTTTATGGTGGTATTTACTTATTGAAGAATGACTGAACGGTTCTATAAACAATAGATTGGTTCAACTGCTGAGTAACTGAGGAAGTACAACATATAAGTTCCGACTACTTCCTAGGAAGCTATCGAAAACTGTTCAATAAATGTGACGCATTTAAAGCGTTTTGATTATGGGTTTATTTACAAATTTTTTGGCTTGCAAGTCCAGTTTCCTTTGAATTAAATTTTAACACAAACACTTACATGAAAATCACTTTACAAAATTTTGTCATTAAGAGTGAGTGGTACATTAGTTTCCGTGTCTGTTGGAACGATAAAGTAATTCCCACCGCTGATAATTAAATTTCATACTCCTTAATGTGAAAACATAATCTTTAAGAGATTTTGCTCTCACCCTGAAATATTTATGCCCGAAATGTCAATCAAAGGAGAAGCTTGGAAAAGATTGGTCGACTTGACATTATTATACCTGGCTACGTCATGTTGGACAGACGGAAAGATAATTATCATGTGACGCTGTTGGGTTTTAAATTTAAAGTATTATAATGCAAGTAACCAATTTTTATTTAAGTAAATACTTTATAATTTTCTATAACATTTTTAAATATTAAAATTTGAGGCAAATATATGTTTTCTGCAATGCAACAATTTAAAATGCTTTGATTTGTTTTATTTTATTTTTGGGAATTCAATAATATTTATTTTACACAAGCAAACTGTCGTACATGTGCCTTTTCCTCTATTTCACATTATTAAATAGCAAAAAAAGATGTTTTCGAATTAGGTAAAGTTCCTCATCCTTCTTATTGGTCCTTGCAGAGCAACAACATCAGCAACAAAAGCGTCGTCGCTTCCACCCGCTCCGCAACCTGCGTCGCATCTTCCGGCGCCGTACAATCAACAGCTCTGCGGATAGTCCTGCAGCCTGTCCGTCGCCAGGACCCGGATCCTGCAACACCTTGCCACCACCCGCCAGTAGCAGCAGTGAGAAGAACCTGCGCAGCGGGGTAGTCCTGCCGTCGGGATCGCCTCTGAATCCCCAACAGCTGGGCGAGAGCTACCAGACCCAGTCGCTACCCAAGTCCAAATCCTACGGCTCCCATCGCGATGAACTGCTGAGCGTGCTCCTCGGCAAGAAGCGGGCCAGCAAGCAGGACCACAGCCAGGTCGCAGGGCACTCCCAGCTCCAGACCCAGTCCCAGTCCCAATCACATTCGCAGGCCCAACAGGAAGCCATGTTCCAGGCCCAGCGTCAGCATGGGGGCGTGGCCGTCTTTCCCGACGCCCTCGGCTTGAGCCGGAGCAGCTACTTCGCGGAGCAGCGAATCCAACAGCGCCATCTGCGCAGCGTGGGTGACTCCTCGCAGGAGCTGGAGTCGGGCTCCGGCTCGGGATCAGGATCGGGATCGGCATCAGGACCTAGTGGTGCCGCAGACATCTCCGACAGCCAGCGCAGCCTCAGCGAGGGTCGCCTCCTGGATGTGGACGGGTGAGTCCTTGCCCCCTTTGTCTGTATATTGGTGGTAACATTATCTTGGATTCCAGGGATTACTCCCGAGATACCTTGTCTCAGTCCCACGATAGCGTCTTCTCCGAATCGGCAACAGCCAGCAGTCTATCCATTGTACTCAAGGTGAGCTCCTATACATTTTGGTAAAATCAAAGGGTTGGGTCTTTAATTGGTTTATGGGTTAATAAATATTATGGGGTAATAAACAATGCCCCACCAAATAAATCTCTTTTCTTTGGTTTGTGAAAAGATAAAAATGTACAAAAAAAGAAGAAATACTCGATATGGGAATACTAAAAGAATTTTAGATGTTTGTTACCTATTTAATAGGCCTGTTTATTCGTTTTGACTAAATAAAGTTAGAGATTCCTTTTTTTAAGAAGTAGCTTTCCTATAATTATACCCGTTACTCGTAGAGTAAAAGGGTATATTGTATTCGTCAAAAGTATGTAACAGCTAGAAGGAAGCGTTTCCGACCCTATAAAGTATATATATTCTTGATCAGGGTCACTAGCCGAGTCGATATAGCCATGTCCGTCTGTCCGTCTGTCCGTCTGTCCGTCTGTCCGTCTGTCTGTCCGTCTGTCTGTCTGTCTGTCCGTATGAACGCTGAGATCTCGGAAACTATAAAAGCTAGAAGATTGGAATTTTGCATCCAGATTCTAGGAGTTCCTACGCAGCGCAAGTTTGTTTCAAAATGGTGCCACGCCCCCTTTAACGCCCACAATCACTTATATACGATTTTAAAAATTTAAATATTTCGGAAAAGTAAAAATGCAGTTTTATTGTGTTTATCAATACCTATCGAAATGTAGAAGAAATTTTTCAAATCGGACCATTCGTTAAAAAGTTATGCGTGATCAACATTTCTATCTCCATCTCCCTCGCACTCCCTTTACCTGAGTAACGGGTATCTGATAGTCGGGGCACCCGACTATAGCGTTCTCTCTTGTTTTTATTTTTCTATGTTCAATTTGTTTCATTCTAACACCCCCTGACCAGAATTTAGATTTATTGCATTTCCTCTCCCTATATTGGTTTTCACTTTTACTTTTTCTCGAACAAAGTTCACGGCCCTTGGGTTACTGGGGAAATCCGCTGGATGTTTTTGTTATCTGGGCATTTGTGGTGCAATCAATCTAAATTGATTTTAATCAAATTCAATTGGTGCCTTTGTTGGCATATCTGCATTTGTGATGACCGAATCTCCCGCAGAGTCCGTTGACTCACATTCGATTGAGGCTTTTGTTTGATTGTTTCGGGTTTTTTAAGTTGTTCGGAAAAAACAACATTGATTAGCTAACTTATCTGCTGCACAGAACGTCTATTAATTAGGTGTTTTTCAGCTGAGATGAGTTAAAAAACTCCGTATAATCTGATTTTAGTTCCATAAGGAAATACCACATATCGGGTCTAATTAAGGATTGATACAACTAAGTAGTTACTTCAAAAACAATTGCAAGCTACAAATTTAACGCATTAAAAGTTGTGCCAAAAGAAAGTCCAAAATGAAATGAAATAGTCTGATAGTTATCTAATAAGCTGAAACTTCATTATTTACATCATTATCACCATTAGTGCATAAGTCGGTTGAGCGTTTTTCTCTTCTTTTTTGAGTGAAAAAAAGAAAAACTGTAGCCAACGCACGCGTCTTGCAACTGGAAACCGAAACCAATGTTAGATATTACACAGAAACAAAATTTTAAAATGAGTATGATTTTTAAAAGATTCAAAAAATTCAATTCTAAGCGACTCAAAAATCACTCTTAGCCGAAAATGACTATCACTTAAATGTGTAGAGTTTTGAATTTCTGTTAATTTTAGAAGCATTTTTCGATGTAATAGAGTTGGGAAAGAATTTTTCTTTTGTTGGGTTAAAAAGATATTTGTTTCTACTGGAATATATTTCACTCACAAAATGCTTTAGGATTTATGTAAGAGAATTTAGCATAAGTTTATTGTATACAGTTTTAAGATTAAGCTAAATTATTAGTGATCCCATATATTTTTTTGCGTGCACCAACTGCAGTAAGTCTTCGCACCACCCGCCATCCACTCCACCCCCCGAACTCCCACTTTTCCCGGCGATTTTCCACCTCTGGCCGCGCGTGGCAATTTGCGGCTTCTTCTCCTGGCAGTCGGCTGTTACTTCTATTGCTTCTTCGGTTTCTGGACAAACGAGTTGCCTGCCGATGGTCGCTTGGCCGCTTCTTGTTATTCCACTTTTTTCCACTTGGCCAGTCCACTCTTCCTCCTCCTCCCGCCCCCTTCTCCTTACCCCTCGGTGCTCCCAGCTTATTTGCCAACCTGGTTAGCAAATAAATCGCATTTCTTTCTGTTTCTATGCTATTGAACTCCTGCAAGTTTTCCGCTAAATCAGTTTGCATCGAGACTTTAGCCAGTGAAGACAACTCGTGTGCTCGCCGTTCTCCGATTTCGATTCCGAATCCGACTCCGATCCGCGCTATGTCCACGATCCTCGGGATTCCTGGACTCTAGCCAAGTGAAGAAGTTACCGAACCAGCGATTTAACGGTCCAACTGGGTAACTGTGGTGGAGATTGTTATAGCTGCGATTCCTTAGTGATCGGATAGTGTAGATGGATTAGCAAGACGTGATAGGCGGAAGTACATACTGCTGGAAGGAATTTTAGTGATAAATGTTTAGCTTAATTTATCTTAAAAGACAGCTATATATACATAAATGCTGCTCTTGATATTTCCTATAAACTCGACGGGCTTTCTTATTATTTTCTCTTGAATATGTGAATTGAATTGATATCCTTTAGCAAAATATTCCATCTTTGGAGATAAGAAGTAAGTCATTCAGTTGATTAGTTTGAAAGGATGTTCACCCTACTTAAGCCTCCTCAAATACTTTCCCAGGAAAAGACTTAAGTTCTCCGAATTCCGAAACCCCTTTTCCTCGTTCCTGTCCAGTATACACATCTTCTAAGACCATTCTGTCCTGGGCTCCCTGTTAATCCTCCAGCCAGTCGAGTTGACTTGGCAATTTTTCTTTGAAAAGCTGAAGAGCAGGTCGGGAAACGAGCTTGGGTCTATAAATATTTACCAGCCAGCAGATGTGATCCCAGTGTCAGAGCCAGAGCTCTGGGCCAACCAGTTTGATGAATTAATTGCGGATAAATAGAAAGAGAAAAACATCTACACGATGGCCATAATGGAAAAACTAAATGACAATGCAGTCGAGCAATTTGCAGGCGGGGATCTGGGGATCTGGGGATGTGGGGTGCAAAGGAGGGGACATTTAGCCGGACGACTTGGAATGACAGCGATATGGTAACACGGTAACACGCATTGAAGTCGCCTGGGAGCGAGCTTGGTTGTCATCGGAGTTGGACACTTCACACGCTTCCCTCTAATTGACCAGCTCTGGCGGGGATCGGAGGGGGAAGCACTCCTCAGTAGTGCCGACTTCCTAGCTCCCGACACTCCAAATTTCATTTTCGGCCTACATTCGTTTGCAGCGACATGAGATCTGTGACACTTCCCGTCTGGCGGACTCCACTCCAGCCATTATGCAATGCTCCATTCCGTCCACGGCTGCATTTGCCTATCGCTTAGATTTCCGCATCCATTAGGAGCACTTCAGTGTCCAATGTCCAATCATCGCGGCGCATCCGCGTTAGGATTTTAATTGCATTTCTTCGCACGCCGATGGGCGCATTCTGGAGTTGGAGCAAAAATGCGGCCCATGTCCATATCTACCGGCCACTTCTACTGGCCCACTTCCCGGCCCCACTTTCCGCCACTTGGCCACTTGGGTGGACAGCCGAGGAGAAATTGATTCGAGGCGATTGGCGTTGATGTGATGTGAGTTAGCCAGGGGAGCCAGTCTCATTGGGTGAGAGTTTGGAGAAGGGTTCTTGCAGTTTCACATGGCTAGAAATGAGGTGTCTGCTTTGGAGAAAGCTACGCCGAGAAGCTTACCATCTAGTGCCAAAGCGTTTAGAATGTGTAACTAACCAAGAAAATTAATAACAGATAAAACGCGGAAGATATAAAGCCAGGTTTTGTAAAACACTATTCAATTTATACGGTTACAACATAACGTTGTAACTAAATGGGAAAATAACTTTGGGACCTTTTAATGCAAAAGTTATTGTCGGTTGTGAATTAAGCGCATTGCCCTACTATTTTACTTTAAATCGATTTACAAAGTCGCTTATTGTTTATTTAACTTATTTATTAGACTTACTAATGATTTCTTTTTTCCACTTACCTTGAAAAGAGAAATATAAATTGAATCACAAATTTTTAAAGCATTCAAAGATTGATTGGTCGGAAGTGGTGTTTATATATAAATTAAGTTTATTCCTGTCAGTCAATAATATTATGCGTTCTTCTAGAAAATAGTAAGAACTACTTAATTATTAAAATAAAATCAAACTGATTGAATATAAAATAGCTCCTGCTTAGCAGTGGTATCCATGAATTCAGATCCGCCATGAAAATGCAATCGCCCCACATAAATATTCCATTAAATATTATAGTCGAAGTCAGGGTCAATTCACGATAACTATTCGCCGATTGGGGCTACCAGCTAAGTGCACACACTTTAGAGCGTTTATCCCACTTGCAGATGGCGATCATTTGTTTGAAATGCAACTCGGACAGCGCAATGATGCAATTGCATTTAATTCAAAGCGATTGCCTGCCTCCCACTTGGCCAACTGTTGTGCCCGTTCTCCGGCCAGAAACCCCCTCCCTCGGATTGCGGTAATCAATGTTGGCGGTTGTGTGTGGCCAAGTTGGGAGCCAGCTATCCACTGGCCGCCGGCTGCCTCCCCTTTCCCCCCGGCCCTCCCCCTGAGTTGGCCCACTCGCCAAGTGGGCCAATAAATCAGTGAACGTGACGGGTCGAGTCCGCTCCGTGATTTTCCTACTCAAACGCGAAGTGGAACTTGGCTTAGAAGTCGCTGTCCAGTGCAGGTAGCTCTTTGAAATGATGGGTTAAGGGTCGCAGGATGGACACTACCTGCCCGGTTTTCGCATCGCGAAAAATTCCCCGAAACAAGGGCAGCTGTGAAAGATTATGTAAAAAATTTGAAATTGCTAACGGTTATGGTTATAAATGGATGATAATTCAACAAGAAAAAAAGCTAACTTCGCGAGCCGAAGTTGATATACCCTTGCAGAATATTCTGTAAATTATATTCTCCAAAATTATTCATATGATGCAATCTTAATACTCATAAAAAATCCCAACTTCCTAACTTTAAAAACACCAAAGTTATGCCATTTCCAATCGTTCAGTTATATGGCAGCTATAGGATATAGTCGGCCGATCCTTATGAAATTTGATAGGTTGGATTGATTGGTTAAAAATAGAACCCATAGAAAATCCCAACTTCCTAACTTAACAAAAACCAAAGTTGTGGCATTTCCGATCAATCAGTTATATGGTGGCTATAGGATATAGTCGGCCGATCCTTATGAAATTTGGTAGGTCGGATTGATAGGCCAAATATAAAACCCATAGAAAATCCCAACTTCCTAACTTAACAAACAGCAGAGTTATGGCATTTCCGATCAATCAGTTATATGGCAGCTATAGGATATAGTCGGCCGATCCCGGCCGTTCCGACTTATATACTGCGTGCAAAGGAAAGAAGGGTGTGGAAAGTTTCAATTCGATATCTTTAAAACTGAGAGACTAGTTCGCGTAGAAACAGACAGACGGACAGACAGACGGACAGACGGACAGACGGACAGACGGACAGACGGACAGACGGACAGACGGACATGGCTATATCAACTCAGGAGGTGATCCTGATCAAGAATATATATACTTTATAGGGTCGGAGATGTCTCCTTCACTGCGTTGCACACTTTTGACCAAAATTATAATACCCTCTGCAAGGGTATAAAAATATTAAGTGAAACGTTTTAAGATATTGATTTTACAACATATATGTATTATTCAATTACAACTTGTATGTGTTTTTTTGTAGCATTATAAAAAAAATCTCAACCAAGCACTCTCAAAATTGGATAATGAAGTTATTTAATTATCATAATCAATTATGGAATAATCCAATTTTAATTATACTTCCTATCTTAAAGGGGAAAAATTTTTTAATTTCTTTTTAACTTTATAACCCATGCTTTATCATATTCAAATTACAGCTTAAATCAGAACTTACTTAACCTGAAGATTATAAATCTAGCGACAAGGTCTAATTTCAGGTGATATATCAATTTGCAGAGATAAAATAATTTTATTATCAGTCCAATACGATCATTATTTTTTACGTGCACCAATCTTTAAAGTAGCTTAATAATTTGACTACATTTATGCATAGGGAAGCGGGTGCCGAGGTAGATCATCTTGCAGAACATTGAACCCGGCCCAAGTCCCCAATTGCAGTTTGGTTAACTAGAATTGATGGGCGAGGTCTTTAACCTGAACCAGCCCGGCACTTAATCCTCAGGCAATGAGCTACCAAAAATAGCAGCCCCACTAGAAATGAGTCCAAGAAACAGATGGCGACGTCACGCGCCGCAAACACTGATAGATGAACGACATGGGATGCGAAAAGAAGGGAGTGGGAGGGATTTTTCCCCGATTTCGGTTTCGTTTGTTTACTTTTGGACAGGGTTCGGGTCTCTCGAGTCTTACCCTTGAAAAGCAGTCGAGAGCTGACAATAAACAGATCTCCAGTGCCTGCCCTGCACCCAATTATGTTCGTCTAGGTAAAAGCAAATGAGACGCCATTTCCATTTCCATTTTCATGTTCGTTTTCATTTCACTCTCGACGCATCTGCATCGGAATCTTCAGTTGCACATTGCACTTGGGTGTCGCCAGTTGCTGCTGCTCGAGTTGAAAGTGAAATCTTTGCGATCGCGTGATCCCCTTGGCAGAGACATTTCCATAGTTTATTATCTCTACAATGGTGGCCGGAGGTTCGGGTTCTCTTAGGGCGCAGACCAATCCCTTCCAGCTTTCGTTTTCGGTAAGAACTTCAGGGGTTTCCATAGGTAGTTGCATCAGGAATCGCACGAATCGCCACAGTTACCCAGCTAAGCTAGGCAATTCGTATCAGTCATTTGTAGCCTCGTCTGCGTTGTGAGGTCCGCCAAATGATCGACTTCAAGCAGAATCCCTTCAAGATGAAGCTGGGCGGCTCTTCCATGGGGGAGAGTCGCCTGGGACGCAGCTGCCTGCGGGCTCGCTTCGTTTTCCGCTGGAAAAGCTGGGTAACCCAACGAAACAATACCCTGAAAACACAACTCCTTCCCCTGCATTCTGAGTAACATCTTTGCACCTTCATTTCAGGCGGAACTCACAGATGTCTTGCGCAAGCGACGCAATCGACCCGATGCCTCCGACGAGGATCTGGGTCTGCCCCGCAGCCCGGCCTCTCCCCAACGAAGGGCAGCGGGTGGTACCAGCAGCAGGAACGCCTCCGGCGTGGGTCACCAGTCGCGGGGTCACCAGAGCGAGGTGTCCTCGCTCAGCCTGTTAAGTGTTAACAGTGCCGAGGCGGAAACGGAGGACAGCCAGAGCTCCCATCACCACCGCCACCACTCGCGTGTGTCCACCAGTTCCTCCATCTCGGTGGGCTCGGACATACTGCGATCCCATCATGAGGACGACGTGGATGCCGTGGGTGGGGAACGCCACCGCCTCTCACATGCGGCGGCCAAGCACAAGATGGCCATCCGGCCGGCCAAGAAGAAGGGACCCACCAGGCAGCACCGCATGACTCTGGAGACCTCCATTCCGGAGGCCAACGAAGATGTCCTGAAGATGAGTCCCGGCCTAAGAGCTGTTCATGGTGAGTAGTAAATGCATAGCGCAGTAAAAGATAAACCTGGATCTCATCGCATCCCTCTAATCCCCATTGCAGAAGCAGACCTAAGGAGCAAGACGCGCTCTATGCCACCGAAAACTCTGACTGCCATTGCATCCCCGGCCCAGGTGATCACCGCCAGCTCGGTAACCACCAAGCGGACCAAGACAATCGAGCAGAGCTCCACCCTCACCACAGTGACCAAGAGCTCAGCCTCCTCCACATCACAGATGTTCGGGCTTAGAGGTCTGACCACCAAGAGCAACACGTTGCTGGACAATCGCGGAGAGTCCTCCACGGACGGGGATGACTTCCTGGCCAACGAGCGGGAAAGGGAGAACGAGAGCGGCTTCCTGCGGCGCCTGATCCACCGGAACTCCAAGCGGTCCATTGCCAGGGCCAACGATGGCGTGGACGACACGGATTCCAGCCAGAGTGTGGCCAAGAAGCTGCAGATCTCGACCTCCTGCTTGGAGGCCGCTGCTCGGGAACCCCTTCACGTGCCGGATAAGTCGCGCAGTGCCACCTCCCACGAGCAGCACGTCCAGGAGACCCGCCAGACGATCAAGCGGGAGATTCACCACGAGGGCAAGCACGGCCTGAACGCCATGGTCAGTAACTACGGCGTCCATCCGCAACCGCCCACGGCATTGAAGCCCAAGTCGGGTCCTGCCGCCAGGCAGCGCTACCTGCCCAAGGAACTGGGTGCTGCTCCGCAGGAGAAGATCCCCTCCGCCAACGATGTGACCAACCTGCTGTCGAAGAGCTCGCGGGGCAACGACACCTTCCAGTCCACCACTTTGGTGCGGGAACAGCAGACCAAAGTGGAGACCTCGGCGCACTTCGAGAGGAAGCCCCGGATTGTGGGCCTGAGCGCCTTCCAGCAGAAGCTGTCGCGCTCCAGTGACTCAGTGGGCCAGCACTCCAGCTCCTCCAACTCCTTGGAGACCAGCACGGACGAGCCCTCGCCACTGTACTACGAGGAGAAGCAGCGCAAGACGGTGGAGAAGTCGCGCAGCTTCCGGAACTACGAGGAGGAGGGAGTGGACTCCGCGGCCATGCACAACAACATGCCGAGTTTGCCGGATCTGTCGCTCAGTTTCCGGGTGCCCGCCCTCTACAAGCCCAGCACGCCCCAATCCCCCTGTTCCCCCATGTCGCCCAACGCCAAGTGCGTATCCCTGGGCTTCGAGATCAACGACAACAAGCTGCTCCAGGCACGAGCCGAATCCGCTGGTCAGTTGCCATTGATGGCGAAGACCTCGCCGCAGAAGGCCACCACCACAAAGCTAATTGTGAGCAGCCCGGGATCGGCGAACATCTCCCAGATCGAGCAGAATATTGACCTGATAGTGAAGTCACCGATGGTGAACATTCTGAGGAAGTCCGGCAATGTGACGGAGAAGCTGCCCAAGGAGCCATCTACTCCGGCCAAGCAGCGACCCAAGTTGCTGGACCTGGGAGCAAAGATCACAGCACCTGCGGCCACTGCAAGTCCCAGTCCTGCGAGTCCCCTGACCAAGAGCGCCAAGCTCTCCAACAGTCCACCCACCACTCCGGCCAAGAACCAGAGCTCCTCCAGCAGCAGTCGCCGGAATTCCAGCAATGTGGAGGTCACTGGCGAGCCCGAGTTCATGAAGATCCAACTGAACCGCGTGGACCAGGCGCGTCTGCACAACAAGACCAACCACTTGGTGCTGGCCAAGAACTTGAAGTCGCCCACCGAGAGGAGTCAGAGCAGCGATGACCTGAGCTTCAGGCGGAACAGCGGCGAGAACCTGGCGGGGATTGAGATTGTGGAGCATCCGCAGCAGAAGCCTCCAAGTCCCGTGGTCAGGCCGACGACACTGGAACCCAGCTTGGGCCGCCAGTTGAGATCCGTGAGTGCCAATAGTGTGAGGACGAGCTACGGCAGCAGCAGTGAGGTATTGGCCACCCAGGTCACACCTGCCACTACCCCCAGTACACCCAAGAGCAATGGGTTTTCCAAGGCAGTTCCCAGGGATGCAAAGGAGCAGGCCAGTCCCAGGGACTCGGCGAAGAGCAATCGCCTCTCGCTGGAGGATCGCAAGCGGCTGTTCCTTAGCGAGGAGCTATCGAAAGGGGTGGAGCAGCGCAGGAAGTCCGTTACCAAGGGGGAGAGCTCTGCGCCACCCACTCCCTCGGTGACTCCAGCCACGCCCGCCATCCCCGTCACCCCGGTCACTCCCACCACGCCCGATCTGGTCGAGGTCAATGGCAACAGCTCACCCACCTCCAATCCCGTGGTGCTGCGCAAGAAATCCTTTGCCAGCTGCAATGGCAATCCCAGTCCCTCCAAGGACGATCCCACGCCGGAGCTGATGAAGGTCTTTGCCCGCCGTTCGCTGAAGGTAAAGGATGACGATGTGGTGACCCTGGCACAGGTTCAAGCTACCGCTCCAGTGACCGTTGCCAAGAAGCTGCCGCCCAGTGGAGGCGGAGGCGGAGGTGGAGGGCAGAGCGTGGACAGCGACAAGGAGAACCAGTCGAACAGCGAGGAGAAGCTGGACAAGCTGGCGCCGAAGGGCGAGGCCCAGGTGACCCATCATCCCAGCAGCAATCGCAACTCGGTGGCAGACTTCCGCAATCTCAACAACAACAACAATAACAACAACAACAATCAGCAGCAGCAGAAGCTGCCGCCCAAGGTGGTCACCTATCTGCCCCCCATCAAGGTCAGCAATCAAGGACGCAACAGCCTGAATAACAACATCAGCAACAACAATGGGAGTGTAAAGCCCGCCGGCGAAAGGTTCTCCCTGCAACTGAAACAGGCCAATCCGGCAGCAATCACTCCAACGTCTCCGGCAGCAGCAGCCACACCCGTCGCCGTCCCCGCAGCAACACCAGCAACACCTGCAGCAGCAGCAGCAACACCCAACAAACCCATCGAGAGGTCGGCCACCGTGGGCGAGTTCAAGGGAATCCACCAGCGACGCGCCGAGTGGGAGCAGCGGGCCAAGGAGGCGCTGAAGTAGATGGAGGATGGAGAATGGACGGAGGAGCAGGCGTTGCAGGAGTAGCTGATCCTCGGCAGACCAGACTGTACCTAGCCTAGCTGCAATCCAAGTGCTTTTGTCTAGTGATGCTCTCTCCTTCATGCAATCCAAGCGGATTGGGAGGCAACAAAATTATTAAGGGAATAATAAAATTATCATTATTAGAATTAGCCCAAAACCTGTAAAGAATCGCGAAAGAAATCAAAGTTGAGGGCGCTGGTCGGGCGAGGTCATCCAAAGACAATAGCGACCTGCTCGGGTCCGGCTCCCAAGACACCATAGGCAATAACTATATACCGATCTTCAAAAAGTGACTAGCATATACTTATTTTTAGTCTATCTGCGTACCGTTTACAAATTGAAAACTAAGCTTCGTTTCGAATTCGTTCTGTGCATTTCAAAAAATTTTATACAATAAACAAAGAATGCAACTAACTCTTAACTGAAAAAAAAAACTGTAAGGACTGTGAGTATAATTACGATTAGCAAGGAGCCTGATATTCGAAACATCTGATTTACGTTAAGTTGATATTTTGCAAGCTTTTAATTGGTAGAAGAGAATGATTTTACTATTTAGGCTAACTATTATTATTTCTAGTATCGTACCTATTGTTTCAACAACCTTGTTTTTGCATAATCTTTGAAGTCTGCTGAGATTACAAATAACGAATGGAAATTTAAACATATTCTTACCCAAGCGTATTTAAAAAAATGCGAGTGTAAAATTGTTGTTAAAGTGACAAGTTTGTAAATGTATATAAAAATAAACTAATAAATATCCGAAAAAATATTTGTGTCTTTTTGTTCTCGAAACCTATAGTTTCTCAAAAGACTTTAAAAATATATGAGCACTTAATTTTGGCTTCGAGTTCCAAAACATCTTAACACATTTTGGGTTTCCAAATTGAATCCTTTTCGGTCAAAAAAAGGATATCATTAAGATACCCGGTACTCACTTATAAATTCGTTCAAGAATGTATATACTGTTTATATTCGTAAACGCTTTCTTCCTACAATTACATACACTGCCCCCGTTTTAAAACACAATTTTTTAACATATAACTGAGTTTATTAAATACATTTAACTAATCAGAAATTGTAGAACATTTTTTTTGGTGAAAAACACTGTTTACAAAAGATTTATTTTAAATTTGTCGCCTTGTTTTCAAAATTATTTTAACGTTGATCAACACTAATCACAACTACGCTGTGACCAACACAGCAGGGCACCCATGATAATTTTGATACTTTATTACTAAGCAGTGTACCCATTGAAACTTTTCTCGGTAAGCAGTAAACAGCCAGTCACTTTATCCATAAAGCAGTGTTTATCTCAGTATTACGTACTTAGTTGAATTTTTTCGGTAAGCAGTGAAAGCAGTCACAATACCATTCTTAGTAAGCAGAGTGAGCTCTTTTGAGCCTTTTTTACAGAAAGCAGTATTCTTTGCGACACCTTCATCAGTAAGCAGTTGTGCGAAAGATTTTTGGGTTTGACCATTTTTAAGAGTTCATAGAATATTGTTTGGTGTGACCATTTTTGAAAGAGCGAATGACATCTTGAAAAAACATCGATGATGCCCTGCGATGTTTTGAAATCGTCGATGAAATCGATGTTCTTCCACCTCTATCCAGCAGGCACATGTGTTTCTGCGTATTTACAAAAGATTTCTCAAAAACAATCCAATAATGGTGGGTAAAACACGTAAATCCAGACTAAAGTTCCACTCACTTGCCATCTTCCACCGCAGGTAAAGGGAAAGAAGCCGTACATTGACCGCAAGAAGGCGGTCACCTTCCATTTGGTGCACCGCAGTCAGCACGATCCGCTGGTGACCGACGAGAATGCTCCACAGCGGGTGCTCCTGGAGGCGGCTGCCCGTCAGCAGAAGCCCAAGGATGAACCAGCCGCCGATCCAGCCAAGAAGCAGGAGGAGCTGAAGAAGTTCGGCATCCACTTCGACGACGACTACGACTACATGCAGCACTTGAAGAAGCGCGAGAACGATGTGGTATGGGAGTTCATGGAGAACCCCAATCAGGCCAGGAAACAGCGACCAGATACGGAGAAGCCAGGCCCGGCGCCTAAGCTGGTCCTGCCCAGCTCTGTATTCGCCAGCGAGTTCGAGGAATCCGAGGGCATGCTGAACAAGGCGGCTCCGCAAACTTTGCGACTCGACTGGGATCCTGATGTGGTGGCCGCCTTGGACAGCGATTGCGAGAACGAGGATCTGGAGGATGACTTCGTGATGCAGGCCATGGCTGAGGGCGAATCCGATGACGAGGAGTGGGATGGCGAGGAGGAGGAGGGGTCCGACATGGACTTTGATTCCGACGATCTGAACGAGGAGGAAGACGAGGACGAGCTGATGGATCGCCTGGCGCCGTTGATGCGCGAGCGTCGCTTTGACGACGAGGAGGTCAAGTCGCGCTTCACAGAGTACTCCATGTCCTCCAGCGTGATCCGGCGCAACGAGCAGCTCTCCCTGCTGGACGATCGCTTCGAAAAGTTCTATGCCAGCTACGATGATCCGGAACTGGGCGACCTGGCTCTGGAGGATATCGAGGGCAACTGGCACCAGAAGCACCCTGTTGTGATGCAGTGCTTCAAGGAGTTCAAGAAGAAGGACAAGACCATCGAGTACAACAAGGAGTGGGATCGCGAGCGCATTGAAAAGTATCGGAATGTGGTCGAAGGTGAGCAGGATCCTACGGAGGAGCTGGTGGAGTACGAGGTGGACGACCCTAAGCAGAAGAAATGGGACTGCGAGTCCATACTCTCGACCTACTCGAATATCTACAATCACCCCAAGCTAATCGACGAGCCGCGACGCAGTCGTCGCTCCAGTGCCAGCACAAACCCAGCTCCTATCCAGATCGATCCCAAAACCGGGCTGCCTACGAATGTCCTGCGTGGTGGAGTCGATGGTCAACTGACAGCCAAGGCATTGGCCAATCTGGCCGACGAATCCCCCGATGCCACGGGTCCAAAATCACTTTGCGCCAAATCGGTGATGTCCACATTAAGCGTCCTGTCCATTAGGCCGAAGGACGAATCCCCTGAAGAGAAGAAGGAACGGAAGCGCCTGCTAAAGGACTATCGCAACGAGCGCCGCATCGAAAAGAAGGCCAACACGGAAGCCTTCAAGGAGGAGAAGAAGCGGCAGACGCACGTGAAGATCAACCAGCGAACCAACCAGCAAGGAGCCTCCATTGTCTAGCTTAAGTTCCTGGCTCTTCTTCTCTAGGCTAAAATGTGAATTGTATACACAGTCGTATATATTAAGTGATATCTATAAACGAAAAATTGGATTAACTGACAAACTGTTGCCGTGAATACGGGAATCGTTCATCCGAATTATAGGCAAAAGCCGGGAGTTGGAGTCGGCCCGGGATGTCGCCTTTTGTTGGCGTCATCGTCAGTTGTCAGTTGGCCATTAATCAAAGTGGCCGACTGTGCTGCACGCGCACAGGCTATAAACCGCAACAACTATGCCACATCGAGATACCCTGGAAAAGGACGTTGCGAATGTCCTGCCTGGCGGCAATTAGCCCTAACTGACTGCCTGACTGGCTGGCTGACAACAAGTTCAGTCTAGCGATTCGCGAGCTGCTAACTAGCTCGACGGGCGGACATAAAGCGGAATCAACAGCAAGACAATCGAAGCGAAAATAAAATAAACTCCATTTCATTGTCAGTTGGCGAGCAGCAACAGCAACTACAAGAATGTCATAACAAAGTGGCTTTTTACCTTGCCGTAAGTCCGTATGTACAGCGTGTAGTAGCGCCTACATCAAGTATATGCACGAAATGTCTGTGTCAGTGCGCCACATACTATATATTATAGTCGCAGGCGGTCCTAAAAACGCGATTTGTATTTACACAGCCATATAGAAATTTCCCACGAGGGCTGAGGCCTGGGGGCCATTCAGGCCTCGTTTCCAGCCCTTGGGCACTGGTTACTGGCAGGTGGGGATTCGCTTTGGTGTGGCAGTTGTTCAGTGTTTTGGTTATTTTGTGGAATTTCAAGTCAACTCGCATGCACTTCGTTGGAAAACCCAACCGATGTCAGTCAACACCAACTGTTGGGGATATATCTACAGCCCCCATGAATGCAACTAAATATGTGTTATCTATTTAAAGAATGTCTTTACTTTAAAACTTGAACATTAGAAGATCCAAAATTTCCCAGATCATAAAATCCTTAAGAATAACTTAACCATGTATTCAAACTCTACTGCCTTAAAATCTTAACAAATGTAACTAGCTTTTGCCAATCTTGTATAATTAATCATCATTCGTGCATAGAATTAAAAATATATGATTTCAACAAGGACTTCACTTAAATCAAAGATCACAAAACTAGGGATTTTAGATAAAGAAATTCAGTAAATATTGTAATGCTACGATGATGATTATTACTAACCAATAGTAATACTTAACGTTTCTGAATAAATTAACCATAATACGTTGAATGATATGTGACAGCTTTTGGTACCAGCGTATTTATTTGATCATTCTCGTATGGAGATGGGGTGTGGGAATTAGAAAATCCCAAACACACTTCCAGGGAACCCAACACCAATTTGCGAGCGAGCCGCGGCTCTTGCCCATGCAATCGTCGTCCTTCCAGACCCCCCAGTACCCAGTGCCCAGCACCCAGTACGTATTCCGAGCCCCCGAACCCAACTCCCATCATTGTAAGTGGAAACCCGTTACAGTTGGTTGTCGTGCCTGAGCCTCCATTGAACGTTGGGGGATTTTTTCGTATGTCGTATTAAAGTTGGCAAGGCGAGCGGCCAAGAAATTCGCGTATTTTCACAGCTCAGTTCCGTTCCGTTCAGTTCAGTTTAGTTCCTGAGCGAAGGCGAACGGATTCGGGCGCGCGTCGTTCCCGCAGCGCGGTAATTCCCCATATAATATCTGAATAATACAATAAGCCCTGGGATATGATGGGTGTACTGTGGAGTTCGCGTGAGGCGGGCGTTAAAGTCGCGCAATTCTAGGACGTTTTCGGAAATGGAACCCCCGCTGGAGCATTAATAAATGCCACTAACTACATAATTAATGTAATTGCTGGGGACGGCTGTCTCGATGATCGAAAATCCTGCTTTATATAACAAAACACGGCGGCATGTTGGGGCATTTAGAAGTTCCATTAATATTAATCCAACGTGGATCTTTGAACAAAGCCGCACGGCAGGATCCTCCGCATGAATATTAATGGGTTTTGGCTCTCAGCTCAGCTAGTGCGTGTTTTCAATCAAAGTGAAGTCGAACGTGTAGAAAAGTATCTGTGAGATTAACGTTATGACATATGGTGTGAGTGATTTAGGCATTCCTGTCCAAGATCCATATCTGTGTGTGCCCACACCACTTGAGGCCGGGTTCAGCCGGATACGGTTCATCTCACGATCTGCATACACTCGCAGATATATATATATACTATCTATATGGTCGTTTGAGCGCTGGCAGATCTGGAAGTGGAATTTTTAATTTGCGAAAAAGTACCCATTGCCATTGCCAATGTCAGCCGCAGAAAGTAATTTATAGGAAGTGGATGTCCAGGCAATTATGTGTGTGCTGCTGGCCAGGAAGCCTGCAATTGAAACCCTCGATCTGTCCATTCCATCTCCCCGCGGATCGCCGGCCACATTTTCCAGATATCGGTCGCATAAATAGTCGCATAGATTGAGCTGTTACACCGGCCACCGTAAAAGCTGTCTGTCTGTTCAGCGACTTAAGTAAAATTGGCACGCGATTCAATTGAATCTTGGCGAGAAGTGTGCTGTGTGCCCTGTGCTGGGGCAATTACCAGAGCACCAGTATTATGCCATGCCTTGACCGCTGGCGGAGCTCCTCCTCCGTCCCAGTTCCTTCCTCCAGCCCCTTCCGCGTCCACGGCTGCAGTGGAAATTCGTTAGCTTGAACCATCATCCGCCACTAGAAATCATAGTAAAATTACCTTACTTTTCAAACTGGCAATTAAGTATCTCTTATCAAAAACCCTAGGACATATTTTTTCTTCCTTAAATAATCAGCGATTGAAACTTATATCACAACCAATAACCTCTTTAATGTATCCTTTGTTTTTTTGTTGACTTCAATGTGAATACAATTTTGATCCACTGTCTTATAAATGTTAAATGTTTTTCTTAAGAGTATTAAATGCATGCGTTAGGAAAGAATTTGACATAAAGCTTAGTCACCTTCAAAAATGGCGAGTTCAAGCTAGAGAGTTCCGACTGTAGATATCAGTTTACGGTCGCAATCCGCAATCGCACGCCCACACAACCGGGCGTGGAATCTACATATCACAGATGCGGATACAGATACTCGGATCTAGATGAGCACTCTTTCGCCACCAGAGCTCGGCTCTTGTTTATTCGAGTTCCGAACAGCAGCCGAGCCGGAGGCAAAACCTAGCGGATAACGATAACCCAACCAGGACCCACTCTTTATACGATCTCTGCTCTCTCTCTATATATCGTATATATATCTTTTGTTCAGTGTTTGTGTCGTGCAAAAGTGAAAGCCCCAAAAATAATAAAAAAAAAAAAACAGCCAGGGAGCAAAGCAAAACCAAATCAAAACAAAATGTAAGAGTAGACCGCAAAGTGCGAAAGAAATTGAAATAAAAATACACAAAAAGGCAACAACCCAATGCAAATGATCGAAAATATTGTGTTACAGAAACCGAATTATGAAATTCCCACGTCGGTGTAAAGTGAGATGATTTGAGGTCTGTGTTACAAATCCTTTCCCGTGCCGTCGTCCCAACATCATGCTCGACAAATTCAACACACACGCATTCATATCGTTTGGACTGGGATTCATACTGATGTGGTAAGCTCTAGTTACTGCCACTCCTGCTCCTGCTCCTGCTTCTGCTCCGATCCATTTCCTTTCCATCTGGAGCTCTGAGACTCCAAGTGCAACCCCCACTTATCCCAGACCCAGAATCGTTTCCAGTTCAAGGGGAACCTTCGTATAGTACTGCCAAATGCAAAATCGGTTCGGTTCGGTTCTGTTCTGTTTCGGTTCGAAATACCCGTAGCAAGGTCAATTGGATCACAGTCAAATGAGAATCCTGCACGGCATATACGGCCGATTGGAAAGGAGGAAACTAATATTATTCCCCTGCCAGGAGGTTAAACGGCGGAACAGAATCGAATCGAAGCCCCCGGCCAGCACGAAGGAAGTTAATTTCAAATTCAGACTTAAATTGACAAAGTTTGCTACAGTTGCATGTGGCAGACATCAGGCCCAGAGACCTGAAGCCCCCCATCCCTCAATTAGGGGGTTTCCCCGACCAACCTACACCCCGCAAAAAAGGACTGCATTTGAATTTCCCCCTTTGTTTTGTGCTGCTCATTTTGCAGGCTGAGCGAAGCCACGGAAGCCCACATGAACTACACAGCCAAGCCGCGAGTAGTTCTTCCGCCTAATTATGTCAAGGGTAAGTTGAACTAAACCTATACCTCCTATACCTCCTGTGCCCATACCATACCCCCTAATCCCGCCCATCTGAAAGGCCCACTACAATTGTTACGGACTGAAAATCGTACTCCTCGGAGGTGTCCTTTTCGATGCGGTCTCCTTTTGTTTTTAATTGCTCCGGATTGCCCCCACTTTTTTTGCTTTGTGATTTCTGATTTGTTTGCACCATGAAACCACCAGCCATGGATATGGATATGCGTGTTCGGGTTTTTCCTTCACTGTTTCTTCCTTTCCCCTGTTTGATTTTTTTCTCTCTGTTCATTTCGTGACGCGGCGAGTTTCAGGGCCTCCGTCTATGGCATACTGGGTTAGGGTTACGGGGCTCCCCAGTCTCCCCGGTGGGACTTTGACGTCATCCGGCATTACGATCGATTAAAATCAAAATAACATTTACCGGCGTCAACTGCCTGTTAAAATTACCGAAGAATTTGTGTAATCTGCAGATCTAAAGGAGAGCTCACATTAAAGTTCAATTACTACATAAATATTGTAATGCTTAAAGTAAACTTTCCTGAGTTCAACCTGAGTGCATCTACACCCTATATATATTTACTTGGGCATATGAAAGTCGTTCCTAGCCATAAGTGCATATATTATTTATCCTTGTTCTCGTTTAACCTTTTACAAGTTTAATTTAACCTATAAAGTCTAAAGTTCACTAAACTCAAGCTTGACCACAAATTAAAGCATTTAAATACATTTTGTGCTGCTCAATTAAAAAACACAGCAACTGTTGAATAATAAATCTTTCACAAGATAAATTGAGAACAAACATGATTATCCAATCAATAATGTTGTTATGCCAATTAGTAAGAATTGTTTTTAACAGTTCTGCACACTCAAATTTTAAATTTATTGTCATGTTTCAATGATTACCACAGTTAAAGGCTGTTTTATTTTTTATTTTTTTTTTCTGCTCCAATATATTGAAGTGTATAATTTTGATTTAATGGCAATGAAATGAGATAGACATTCGTAGTTTAAAAATTCTAAACTCCTTAAGATAATCCTTGTTGAGATAGTCCTAACTTATTAGACTATATAGATTATTAGTAGATTATTAGAACAAAAATGTAAATGCAACTAGATTTTCTTGAGTCCAATAAAATTAAAACGCTTACTTTAAGCTTATGCAATAGCTGCATTTGTTTGCAAGAGGCCACCCGCGAAGGTATGAATAATTTACCGAAATTACCTAGAGGCGTGTACTCTTCATTTGAGGCAATTGCTGGAGCTAATCAACACCTTTATTTCTATCGATTTTCGACGGTTGTGTAATACGCATTAGGACCCTGAACTTGGCGAGAAGTCGTAGTGAAAGTCCTCTGGTTTTAGGAACCCCTATCCCCTTACCCCCTTGAAATGAATTCGCGCACGAAAGTTTTGCAAAGGGGCGAGAAGTCATTCGTGAATTTATTTCTCGAATAAACTGTTCACACCAAACGTGGGCTAACCGGAGATCGCCTTGATTTATTGCAGAGATACGGCCGCCCTCGAAGAAGGGCTCCCCAGTGATAGTAGACTTTAGCATATTCGTTGTAGATATTAACTCAATTAACGTAGAGGATATGGACTTTAGGTAAGTGGCCGCGTATCTGGAGAGACCTCAATCGGGAGATCGTAATGGAGCATATAGCAATACTGTGTACATTTTCAGAGTAGACATGTTTATACATCAGCGCTGGCTGGAGTCGCGTCTGGAGATCCCAGATGACATCTTCGAGGAGGGCGACGACTATGTGACGCTGCTTCCAGAGGTCTTTGAGAATTTTTGGCAGCCGGACCCGTACTTTCTCAATTCCAAGATTGCCGGTACGTCCACCCCCAAAGCATTATAGATATAGTCAAAGCTTGATGTTCGAGTAGCCTGTGTGTCGATGTGTTTTTACGTATCTTGGACTGGGATTCATGCACTTTGTCCAGCTGAGCTCATCACTTATGTGTCTAATTTAACTCTCTAACTCTGGACCGTTTGTATATAGTAACGAATTACTTTGTTTTCCTTTGTTTGTTTGTTTTTCCTAATCCACCGGTTACTCTACCGACTAACAAATCCCGAACTAACAATACCGATACTTCTGCATAGGATACGGAAGTCCATATGTTGCGTCCACTTCCATGCTACGCAATAAGGGCGAAAGAGATTCGAAAAACTTTCATCTAAAGAAAGATATAAGTATATCAAAAATGACTCTAGATCTGTGTTTGCCACTTTTGTGTTTTGCCAAAATCCATTGAAATCGATATATCAGTATCAGTATCAGTATCAGCGCATACCTTCCATCCAATGTATCCTGTATATTTAACATTCTCCGAAATCTATCTATACCGACTACGTATTGGGCCGATTTGAATGAATTCTCGTGCCATATAGTCCTTTGTGTGTATATATATCCATACATCCCATTCCTAGCGAACAACCGAGTGTATATTTAAGTTTTTTTTATAATTTCCCAACACAATACCGGACCCGCCCACTCGCGGCTCTCATTACACGCACGAAATCCATTCCGGTTCCAATGCCATGGTCAAACAGGACACTCCAATCCACCGTAGAGCTACCCGTACACCTCAACCCCCTGACCATCGCCCACGCTCCAATCGAAAATGAAAATTTGCAGTTGCACCCGGAGACCTGATAAGATCTCACCTTGGAATCACGTGGGCAAATTCGTTTTTTCCTTTTTTGGTTGCCATTGTCAACATTAACAAAACAAAAATCGATTGCAATTCGGTCAAGCTTTTTATAAATATATATTCGTTGTCACGATTTGTTTAACACCACAAGTTAATGGGTTGTATAGTATATTGTTATTTATATTAAGGTAAATAAATCTTTTTTTAAAGATTGTTTTTTCAGTTAAAGTTATGTTACTAGTTATACAACCACTCGTTTTATCATTTTTTTAAGAGTTCCTATTTCGGTATTGTTTCTTAGTACTTATATTAACACACACGTTATTATTAATATCCATTTGTATGTATTATTGTATAATGTATTATTTATCCACCCATTTCAACCAAAACTCATTCGTCAGTAGAGTGTCGCGCTTAAACATAGACATAAGGTGATCACGATCACGGCACCACCTATTGAGCCACGAATTCACTGAACCACCACCGAAATGAGCAAAGAAATGAGTCTATCGATGCCAATGCCATAGTTCTAATCAAAACCCATTTGTTCCGCATCTCTGCAACGTCTTCTCGATGTCTTTTCGTTGTAGAAATAGCGACATTGACCCACAAGTTCACGTCGGTGACGCTCTACAAGAACAAGACGGTGCGCTACGCCGCCCGGATGCACGCGATCATCGCCTGCCAGATGGAGTTCCAGCTCTACCCCATGGACATCCAGGTGTGTCCCATCTACATCGAGAGCTGTAAGTGTTCCAGCCCCTGATCCACAGATTTATATAACGCAAGTTCCCCCCGAAGTCTCGTCAAACAACCAGAAGGTGAAGCTGCGCTGGTCCGACTCCGGCGTCACCCTCAATCCGGAGCTGAAGTTGCTGCAGTATAATCTGGGCCAGCCCTTGGAGCTGGAGGAGAGCGACGGCTACATGCCGGAGAAGGTGGGGAACTTCTCCCGCCTCACCGTGTACTTCCGCTTCGAGCGCCAGATTGGCCACCACCTCATCCAGACCTTCGCCCCCTCCTCGCTGGTCGTGATGCTCTCTTGGTTCAGTTTCTGGTTGGGATTGGACGCCATTCCGGGACGCGTCACGCTCCTGGTGACATGCATGCTGACCCTGGTCACCATGTTCACGGGTGCCGACATTCCGCCGGTGGCCTACGTAAAGGTGAGTTCCAACGACTTCTGAACTTCAACATTTTTCTGTTGATTTTGTGATGAAATTCATTGGGATTAGAGAAACATTTGTTAATGATTAAATTAAAAAAAAAATAGTACCGCTTTTTCAATGTGTTGTTAAGTTTTGAGAGTTCAGTGGCAGTTTTGGAAACATTAACTTTGTCAATATCATGATAAAGTTTATCACAACAAAAACTCTCAGCTAGGGGCACGAATTACAAACTATAACCTTAACCTATTATGATTAACCTATATTAACATAAAGTACCTAATGAAGAGCTCCGAAAAAACTAAAAAAAAAAATATGCGCAATACAAACATGGAAAACCAAAAAACATTTTCCTACAATCAAAATCCTAGAATTATATATGAATATTCAATATGCCTTTAAAGATGTTTCCCTTGGCAAGCCTTTTGTAAATTATGTATAAAAAAATTTAGATTAGGTATTTAATTTGCCAAAAAAATCGAGAACGGAAGCAAACTTCGGCAACCCGAAGTTTCAACACCCTTTCACGGTGTCTTCTTACAAAATTGTGTAAAATTACTGCCAATTCGGATGCAGGCAAATATGTTCTTATTTGGAATATACTTTTAAATATATGTTTAAATATCTTTCGTTTCAGGCCCTGGACCTCTGGATGGCCGGCTGCATGCTGTCCGTGTTCGCCGCTCTGGCCGAGTTCGTGGTGGTGAAAGTGCTGGACGTGCAGTACCAGTACCAGGTGAACCGCATACCCAAGGTACTGCCCATGGTAAGGCAGCGGAGGGGATTTCGCTTTAATAAGTAATGCCACCTTCTTGTCGTTCCTATTTTCTTTGACTTGCGTAGCGCATCAGCAACATGGAGAAGGGTCAGTGTGCGACGGTGGCCAGCTGGGAAGGAGGAGCGGTGCGCTCGCGGAAAGCCACCCAGACGCCCACGACGCCGGGCCAGGTGAGCTACTAACTGATATGCGGGGAACTAGTGCACCTGTCACGTCCACACATCAAATTGGCAATTGAATGGGTCTAATTGGGTGTACAGTCTTTAACCATATTCCAAAAAAGATAATATATCCCTTCATACATTTCGTTGCAACTGCTTTATAGACCTCACTGCAGGGGAATGGTGGACCACCCAAGCCGGCAAGGCGTCAGAGCCTTTTATCTGTGGCCTGGACGGATACGGATACTGGCGTGGAGAAGATCATGTGGCGAGAGATCGACAAGGTGTCCCGCGCCGTATTCCCCATCCTGTTCTTCGTTTTCGTGCTCCTGTACTGGCCGATACTGCTGATGAAGTCGTCCTAGGATTTGGGGAGCTCCAGACTGCACATGTCTGGACTCCGTTAAAAAGTCGAAAGGAAGCGAATCAGATGATGGAACTACAACTGAACTGGATTTGGTGCCCAAGTGCAATGCCAGAGACCCCGTGTCTTTGGATCTTAATACCTGCAAGAGAGCTACACAACTCGCTCTCTGTCATCGAAGTACAAGAAACGGCAAGGAATGTCTACAGTTACCTACAAAAGTGCGTGTAAGGGTATTCTACTATTACTACACCTAAATCGGGTACATCGAATGGAATGTACTGAGTATAGCTTAGATGTCGACTATTTGCTCACGGAGAAAGTATTGTTCATTTGAGTATTTGCTTTGTACAAATCCGATCTTGTATTCAACGATACCGACAGCTCCCCTATATTATTATTTAAATCTTTGCCACGAACGAATAACTATATATTTGTCAGACACCACGCACTCACACCGGGTTATAAGCTTCAGCTACTCTAGGGATTATCATCGAGTTACCAAATTTAAATTTAGTTTTGCCTTACATACACCGGATATTGATCAAATGTATATCACTGTGCTAGTGACAATACCCCCAATCGAAAGGGTTGTCCCTACTTTGAAAGTATACACTCTCTACAACTGCGAGCTACACGCATAAATCATACATTTTCTGGCAAACGATTTTAATTCTACTTTTGTATTAGGCTTAAGCAAAACAGCCAAGACATGGAATTGGTGCTTTACGGAGATAATAATACGACGGCCTCTAAGGATATTTGGATTGTAAATATGAAACGAATAGTGAATGCTTTTAGAGATTTTTACATATTTAGAATTATTAACCCATTATAGCGCATTTTAATGCAAACATTAGAGCTGTGGCTTTTACATCTAATACTAAAATTGACCTGTAATTCAAACAGCGCACATCAGGCAGAATTTTTGAAAATATAAACATATATATTTGTTAAGCTAAATCGAGTTTATATTTGATATGAAAATACGGACACAATGTAAATATATTACATCACTATTATATTATATTTATCTAGGACTGTAACTGCTATACCAAGTTAAGTTTATATAATATCTATATTCTTTCCATCTTTTAAGTTATGTTGTTCACTCAGCTATTCATAGTTCAGTGAACCCTCTAATAATGTTATCGAAAAGCTTTAAATTTATTCTTAATAAAAGACAAGGCGCGTAAATCTATCAAACAAACTAATGATTGGTTTTGGTAACAGGAGTGATAAAACGTTGGATATACAACTCCTAAACGTCTTCTTCTGATTCACTGGCACTCTCTTCCTCATCGCTGAATTGCGACTGCCCATCCTCGTCATTCTTTGCCCTGATCAGTAGCATTTCTTCATCACTGTCATCCTCCTTGGCATTTGTTTTGTCCTCATTTTCCTTCTCAAATTTATCAGCTCTGTCTAAAAGTACTCTCAACGTATACTTGTTATAGTCGCAGCTAAAAAGTAAACGAGGTTTAGTTAAATTTGTTCACGGAAGGGTATGGTTATTCTTACATTTTATTGAGCATTTCGTACTTCCTGGAAAGAACCTCGTGAAGGGCCAGCAATCCCGTGTGCTGAAAAACTCCATCCTGGTTTCCGTGTTTGGTCAGCAGGCAGCAGCTCCACTGCAAATAGAACTCGATGTGCGGCGTGGACTGGAGATGGCGGGCCAATTGTTGCAGCAGTCGCTGGGCAAACTCCTGCGACAGATCCGCACAAACAAGTTCGACTGAAAAAAAGGAAAGGAGCAAGGACTCAGTATGCATGCAATGCAGACACGTGCTGAAAGAGCTCTTTATGGCCACCCATTTGCATGTAGTGTATAATACGTATGCAAGTTGTATTGGAAGGGGTTATTAACCAAGGTAAGCGCTAGGACGAGGACCTTGAAACTGTTTATTAACACAGCAAAAGTGCAAATTTGCACATTCGATCGGAGAACGGAGTCAGGGCAAAGGCGACCTCCCCAACGGAGTGTGTCGCAGCTATTTTTAGTAGCGGCAAAACTGAAGGTTGCCAAAACTGACAAGGACTGGCCCCTAAATGCAGTAGGCTATTTAGCATTTCACTTACTGTCCTTATACGGCACTCTCTCTAGCACTAGGGCAATCAAATTGGGCTCGTTTAGCTTCAGGGACATGACCAGCGCCTTGGTGTAATTCTGCTTTTTCAGGGATTCGTGAACCGCTTTCGGTGTGACTTCCAGCGATAGGTCAAATGGATCGAAGACAACGCCTGAGGAAAAAAATTATTGATTTGAATAACATTCACAACGCAAATACTACTATATATTACCCTTATCTAAAGCATATATACAGAGTCCCTCCGTTCCTGCAGCAGCAAATGCCTGACCCGTGGGTGAGAACTTGACGGAGAACACTCTAACCTCCTGCTGAAATCGTCTGGAGGACATGTCACCACTGCGAACTCCAGGCAATCTAATGGCCACTTTCCCACCCTCCAGCTCTTCACGGTCTTCCACCAGTGCCATGTTACCAAACTCACTTAAATGTTTACGACTAATGAAGTCCTGTCAAATTAAAATCAAATTAAGTTTCAGTAGAAATATTTAATTTTTGTAAGTACTTACATTAAGACCGTCCAAGCTGTGGTTCTGTGTGATTTCGAATTTCTTCAGAAGTATAGCCTCCCTGACATGATATATACAGATGTTGGCCGACTTGCCGGCAGCCAGTATGCACTCTCCATCCGCAGAATACTCTATAGTGGAAAAATAACTAACAGAAAAATATATAAAAATATTATCTATAAATCTCAAGGCTACTCACTTGGCTTGCGCATTCTTTTTCGCTGTTATTATATCGGTTTCCAGGCGTCCCCCGCTAAGATCATTGCGACCCTCTATGCTAGTCACTTGGCCCGCTGATTTGATGTCAAAAATGGTTATATTACCACTCAGAGTGGCTACGGCAATCTGAAAATTTCAGAATGATAAATTGTCAAAAATAAGAAATGATTTTGCAGACACACTTACCTCCTCACCACTGGGACTGAAAGTCACATTTGTTACATCTGAGACTGCATCGATAGTTTCGTGCTCGCTGTTGCTTTCCAGACAGTTCCAGATCTTAACGGTTTTGTCCCAAGAACCAGACACCAAAGTGGATGATGTGGCCACTGGGGAGAATGCCAGGGAAACAACAGGACCCTCATGGCCACTGATGATCTCCAGCAACTTGCCCGTCTTAACTGACCAGAGAAATATGTCGAATACGTCCTGCCCACCAGCTACAACCAGTTCGCCTGAGTAATCAACAGCCACGCAGGAAAACTGAGCAGGACTCGGTGATGTGAAGGTCCTAAAGTTGCGGTACCTGAAAGGGAAAATAGGCGATTATTTTACATTTGTTTTTAAGATTTAATGAAAAACCCGCCTGTTCACATCAAATGCGCGCACTGTGCCATCTAGAGAGCTGCTAACCAGAAACTTCTTGTTCCTGCTAAACTGAATGCCAGTCACTCCACTTGTGTGCTCGCTGAAAGTGACAAAACAAAAGCTGCTCTGCGTGTTCCACAACTTCACCTTAGAGTCCTCGCCACCGGTGGCAATGAATTGACCATCCGAGGAGTAGGCAATACACGTCATCTCACTGCTGTGCCCCTGCTGCTTCATAATGTACTGTTCGCTCTGCCACTCCCACACCAGAAGCTGGCCAATCTCCCGGGAAGCCAACGCCACCCAGTCACCGGTGCAGTTGAAGAGGGCCGCCGAAATTGGATAGTCAGAGATGCTCAGCGAGTGGATCATGTTAACGTCGGGCAGTTCGTAAAGGTAGAAGGCTCCGGAACTAAAGGCGACCACCAGAACCTTGGTGCGAGTGTTGTAGTTAGCTGCCGTCAGCTGCACATCTCGCTGCTCCTTGCGCGGCTCATCGGCTAAATAATGGCGGGTTAGTTTCTTGTAGAAGAAGGGATGTTCCTTCTTTTCTGCCTCATCCTTTAGCTCGTTAACATCATCGCCTATTTTTGAAGACTCCTCCTTAACAACTTCCTTTTCGACCACATTTTCAACGTCATCTTCGGACTCATTTTCGGAATCGGCCTTTTTGACCCTTTTTCTTTGAGAAAGATCACTTGCCGGCCTCTCCGCATCCTCCAAATCGGAAGGAGCCATGCTGCATTCCCACAAACATAGCTGACCATTGCGACTTATGGTGTTTAAATGCAAACTGTTCGCCTCAAAGAAACATGCCACAATGGCATCCGTGTGGCCACTCAGGTTGTAGGTGCGGAAGTTCTTCGTATAGTTAATGGCGCAGATTTTGGTGGAGCTATCCCGACAACCAATAGCCAAGAGCCGAGAGTCCGAGGACCAGTCCAGCCATGTGACGTCGTCGTAGCCGCCTAGGAATCTCCGCCGCAGCACGAATGGATTGTATTCTCCAGTGATCTCACCCGGGGCACAGAATATTAGCACTATGTTCTGGACAGCCACGGCGAAAAATGCTCCATTGGGACTAAAGCAGATGCACTGGACGCCCGTTTGGAACTTGTGCCGATGTATCACTGTGCAGGACATCATGCTGATAAGCTGTGCCTCTCCTTTTTCGTTGACCGCAATGAGCAGACTTCCATCTGGGGAAAGAGCTAGATTCGTGTAGTTATATCTCGATTCCAGGGACAGGGTTCGAGATTTGTTGCTACGGAAAAGCTTAATATATTACAGATATCCTTAGGTAATGAGCAGTAACTCACTTTTTTAAATCGTAAACCGTAATCCTATTGCCAACCGGACTGATAACTGAATTTCCATCTGGAGTGAAGACCAAGTTTCCATTGCGATATATTGTGCCCAACAGGTTGGAAAACTGTGACACCATATGATTAGTGATTGTTAAAATCGATCGTAATATAAACTTACTTTATAAGAAAACTTCATTTTACGGCTGGTTTTAAGCGAAAACCACGAGTAAAAATATAAACAAAAACTCCCGCACGTGTTAAGGTAAACAGCATATGAAGCTGAAATCACACTAACGCGTTTGCAAATACCACCACACAGTATATATCGGATAGGCGACAGCAAACGGTGATCCAGACTAGTCACGAAAGTTGCAAAGTCGAAGCTACTTGAAAGGAACCCAGTATAATTTTTAACGAAAACCAACCAAAAAATAAAGATAAAAATAGGCAGTTAATAGGTTTTTAGCGCCTACAAATTTTGATAATAAATAATAATACTATACATATTCTATGGTTTACAAAAATGTATATAACTTAGTAATTAAAATTTCGGTCAAAAAACTAAAATTTGTTTTTAAATTTTGGTCTCAGCTAAACAAATAGTTTTAATCACAATTAGTTAAATTCTTGTCTTAATTGCTTTATTGGTCACTAATGCCGTATCTTTTAAGTAGCGTATTTAGCTATAACGTTAAGTAAAATTTTTTCTATTTTCATCACTTTAGCCTTTTTAGCTGTTATTCACTGTAACAAAAAAGAATTGCCAGTTAAGCGAAACAGCTGATTTTCTTGGTGCTGCCAACGCGTTTTAAGCCCACAAAGCAAGCTCGAAAAAAACAAAGATAAACAACGTAAAATCACGAAATTTCGAGCAGAATAACCAGTTTCTCAAACAAAAACGCAATGGAAACGACCAAAACGGCTGCGGAGAAGCTGGCGGAGCGCAAGGCGCGCTTGCTGGAGTTGCACAAGAAGCGGCAGGAGGCGCGGACGGACAACCACCAGGAAGTGGTGGCAGAGGACGCCCGCAAGAAGCTGCCAAAGAACTGGGAAGCACGTAAGCGCCAGGCGGAGTGGATTCTGGCGGACGACAAGGCGCGCTCAGATGCACAGGCCGCTGGCAAGGATTACGAACGCCTAAAGCTTCTCGAGGTTTCGGCGGTGGATGCGGATCGCATCGAGAAAAAGAAGAAGCGCAAGGACAATCCGGACTTGGGTTTCTCCACCTACGAAGCCCAGACGGCCAGGCAGTACAGTCGATTGGTCAAGAGCATGCCCACCCGCGACATGGCCAAATATGAAAGGCAAAAGGAGGCGCTCGGTGAAGCCTTCTACGGCGGTGCTCACACCACATTGCATTCAAGAACGAAGGACACTCCTGGTGCCATTAATAACATGGTGCAGGACCTGGAGCAGCAAATCGAGCGTCGTAAGAAGTACTCCCGCAGACGAATCTACAACGACGACGCGGACGTGGACTTCATCAACGAGCGAAACTCCAAGTTCAACAAGAAGCTGGACCGATTCTACAGCGAGCATACGGCGGAAATCAAACAGAATCTGGAGCGCGGAACAGCTATCTAACTTTAGTCTTTCATTTAGTAATTTTAAGATCAGAATCCGAAATGTACCTAATTTACTTTGTGTTCATATAATTGTTGTATTTCCCAGGGCTTACCGCTCTTAAAAATCAAAAAATAGACAATTTTCATGAATTTTTCATACGAAAACTAACAAACTTTTTTATACGATTATTACAACAACTAAAAGATCAAACAAACATGTAAAATGCAATAGGTTCTCAGTAAATTTTTTTCGGATCGATTTGAAATTTTAAGGATATTTTCTCTTCTGATGGTTAAAAATAAAAAAAAAAAAACTTATGGATCGAGTTGGCAGCTTTGCTTCTTCATGATTAATATTTTTTAAATCTCTGGAAATAATGCAGCAGTTTAGTTCGCGGGAGAAGTATTTGGTGTCCAACACCCTTAACTGCTGGCCAGTGATGCTGCAAGGTCATCCAGTTCTCATCGATTTGCAGAACGAGACGTCTGTGGCCGGAGTTATCGATGTAGCCGACGGGCACATGACCTGCGAACTCTCCAATGCAGTTTTCATCGATCGTAATGGAGGACAGCATCCGTTCGATCACTTTATGGTGCGAAACCGCATGATCCGGCAGATACACATACCCACTCACCTAGATGCAGAGCAGGAACTTCGCCAGGCCATGGAGAGGGGTGTCCTGCGAAGGAAACGCATGGACCCCAAGGGAGGAAAGCGTACTTTCAAGCAAAAACGAGCGGAAATGCGGCACAAGGAAACCCTTCAAATGATATCCCAACAAAAGGAAAGGACCAAGCAAGAGATCTAGTCTATATACATATGTACATACATATCACAAAATCACTTTTATTTATTTAAAGAAATACATACCACGCTCTACAAAATGTCTCACATTCTTTTTTCAAATTTAAAATGGACTCCCAGCAGAAGACAAATCAGATAACCCTTAAACCGAATGTTTATTTATTTTAAATTGAATACAAATTATATTCTAGTTTTTAATCCAATCAACGACGCTTCGAGACAACCCCCTGCAAAGAGAGCACAAACTAAGACTCTATCATGTTTATTTTTTCCAAGAAATACAAACTTCGTTTGACTGAATATCTTATACACTCTTACTACCAAATCTACTGAGCCGCCTGCTGCTGCTCCTTCAGCTCCTGGTACTTGTAGTGCAGCTCCATGCAGTCGGTGTTGGAGATATTGACCCAGCCGTCTTCCTTGATGTGATAGACGCGAATGATGCCGCCGGAATAGGCGTCCCTGAAGGTGGCATGGTAGATGGCCCGACGCCCCAGCTCCTGGGCCTCCTCGTCCTCCAGATCCCAGTGGTAACCAGAGTCCAGAACTCCGTAGGCGAAAAGTGAGCCACTGCCTACGGAGAACAGATTGCCTGGCGTGCGCGATCCCTCTGAGTCCACGTAGTATAAGCCAGGACCGCGCTTATCGTAACCAGCCAGCATCATTCCCATGCTTAACCCCATGCCCTTGTATTCGTGTGCAATGTTAGCCATGATTTTGCTGGCCGCTGCCACAGAGATGCGCTCTTTGTTGCGCAGTTCGTGCAGGCGGCACTCCTTGGACAAAACGCGATCCCAGTACACACAGTCAGCAGCGCCTCCTGCCAAAGTACCCAGCATGAACTGGTTGATCTCGACGATCTTCTTCATCGACTGTGAGCCAATGTACTGGCCACCGGTGGCCCGGGAGTCCACCGCCAGGAGGACGCCGCCCTTGAACTTGAAACCAAGCGTTGTGGTGCCGTGGTCAAAGTCGATTTTGATACCGGTTTTGCCGGCATTGGCCTGGATCTGGTTAAGGTTGTGCATGGGCTGGAAATAGTAGAGATCATATAGTGGTGTCCTCACAGGAATCCAGTCTTTACCCAACTCACATTCTCGAATGGCGGAGCAGCCAGTGTGTAGGGATTGGCTAGATTGCAGGTTAACCCCCTCAAGTCGTCCTCCGCGTCCGCCGATGACCAGGCAGATGGCTTCATGTATGGAGCATTGGATATCTTGCAGATTTCAGCCAGTGCCATTTTGGTAGCTCCTTTAAAACAATTGGAAAAGTTAAATGCGAAATGCCGATGACAAACAAAATTGGTCTTAAGTGTGACCGCCCTCGAATGCAGCCAATATGCCAAACTATCGGATGAAGCAATAGCTGTTGGTAGTACGGCAACCCGGTTCGAAACCTGTTGCCAATTTTACCTGTGATTGGCTTTCTTTTAGTCTCTTTTAGGCCTGGCTTGAAGCCAAATTAACTCTGGGCGTTCCACTAAACGTAGGCAAAATAGTGCAAAATCAAGCAATACAAAAAAATTTCTAGCAAAAGCATGTGTAAATACGTGGGAGTGAAGAATAACAATGTATAAATAACGGCGCGAAATCGGAAATTTAAAAAAGTGAAAAGTAAGTTGGAAATATAGAAAACGAAGGCGCAGTTCAACCAGGATTTTAGCACTAGGAATTTACTGTGATTGTGCTAAAAATACAAGAAACCATATATGTTTCTTTAATGTGCCGAGAAGAAAGACAATAGGCAAATGTTTTAAAGGTGTTTTTGAAATTCCAAGCCTCTTGGTAAAACGGTTTGGTTTAACTCCCACTTCTGTTTGTAATTGCAACAACTACGTGGTACGCCATTACGTGAGACACACACACACGCACATACACGAAAAAAAATATAAGATCAAAGATCATATTCATTTGATGAGATCCTAGGTCAAGTTTATCTTTCAACACATCATTAACGAACATGCAAACAAAAGACATAATCAGGAAATAATAGTAAAAAAAACCATGAATTTTTACACATTTGGGTAAATGCCCAATTCTTAAATACGAAAAAAACAAAAACAATGTTTCCTACACTTTTAAAATTTTTTTTTTTGTGTAAAATAGTTGTCTCGTCTTCAATTTGACTGGTTTTACGCAATTTTCTCTGATACTTTTGAACAAGTTACAATTTGCAACGCAGTGAAGGAGACATTTCCGACCCTATATGTTCTTGATCAGCAAATCCAGGAGAGTCGATCTAGCCTAGTCAGTTTTAAAGCTATCTGCTCTTGAAACTTTCCCAAAATTGTTTCTATTGCAGGTAGTATATAAGTCGGAACGAGCCGTATCGGGCGACTATATCATATAACTCCTACAGAAACAATCGGAAAAAAAAATTTTAAAAAGTATAACTTTGTTGTTTTTAATTTTTGTTGTGTCCTTTTTGATTTGGTAATATTTAAATACTATGGAATTTGGATTTTAATTACATTAAAATCATATAGCTCCCATAAGAAAATCAAAATTTTAAATAAAAATAATAATGAAAATAAATAATTTTGCTGTATTTTTCTGGTTTGCTGTTAAAATGCAGCGCAAAATCGACATAGCTTCATTGTTTTTAGTAATATAGGCATATAAATCGAAATGTAAATGCAAGGGTATATAAACTTCGGCTTGCCGAAGTTGGCTTCTTTGCTTGTCATAAATTAAAATAATGCAGAACATTTAACAAATTTAAACATCCAAACACAACTATCTTTATTTCATTTAATATTAACACAGACAATGCAGCATGGATCCTCCCGCATTTCGAAACAGGAAGCTCTGCCAAATGCCATCTCTGGGGTGAGTTTATGCACTTGATTCAGCCAAGTTTACACTAACTTAACCCTTGCCCCTATTTCAGCCCGATTCCAGCAACTGGACTTCGTTGCACGAGGCGGTGGCGGCCGGCGATGATCGGCGGGTGGTGGGTCTTTTGTTTAGCAACGCGGACCGCCTGGCCAGGGAATCCCTGCAGGGGAATACCCCGCTGCACGAGGCCGCCAGTCGAGGGTTCAGTCGCTGCGTGAAACTGATCTGCACACCCCCAACGCCACCCACTTCCTCGGGGGTTGGAAAATCAGGAAAGGGGCAGAAGGACAAAGACAAGGACAAGAATAAGGGCAGGGCGAGGGTGGCTCACCAGACTATCGAAGCCCTACACAATAGTGCCCTGGGCATAGCCAACAATGAGGGGTTGTCAGCCCTCCATTTAGCCGCCCAAAATGGTCACAATCAGAGCTCCAGGGAACTACTGTTGGCTGGAGCTGATCCCGATGTCCAGAATAATGTAAGTGGAGGATGGTGAAAATTATAATCATATTCAAGAATTTGTTTCCAGTATGGCGATACTCCGCTGCACACTGCCTGCAGATATGGACATGCCGGAGTCACCCGCATCCTTCTCTCCGCCCTTTGTGATCCTAATAAAACCAATCTTAACGGTGACACCGCTTTGCACATCACCTGCGCCATGGGACGCAGAAAGCTCACCAGGATACTCTTGGAGGCTGATGCTCGTCTGGGTATTAAAAATGCCCAAGGAGACTGTCCCATGCACATAGCTATCAGGAAGAACTATCGAGAGATCATCGAGATCCTGAACACGCCGAAGAAGATACGAAACCGCAAGGAGAAACCCAGAGAGGGTGGCAGCAGATCGGACAAGGACAGAGATCGAGAAAGGGATGTGGTGGACAAGGGTATTAATTGGTCGCCTTATGGCTGTCATTACTTTCCCGATCCTCGCGCCTTTCCCTCCCCAAAACTGGAAACCCTACCCAAGGAGCCTTTGAAACCCGGCGAGCAGTACTTTCTGGACTTGGCAGGCCATATTCACAAGGGTCCTGTCAGTGTGGGTAATACCTGCTACTGCGGTCCCTTCTTCCGGCATATTGAGAACAAACTAAACTGCAATCGGAAGAGCTTGAAAAAATACGTCCACAAGACCAAGGAGCGATTGGGTCACAAGGTTCAGGCATTGGCCATCAAAACCAACGATCAGATTGAACAGCTCACGAGGACGATGATCGAGGACAGGCTGAGATGTGAAAGCAAGAGGCAGCACCTCAGTGAGTTCTTGAGAAGAGGCGAACCCATGCGATCCACGTTCGATCAGCAGAACAGGAACTCAAGGATCGAAAGAACCCTCTCCAGGTGTCGCAGTCTTGAACTCTTGGAAAACAACCACAAGGGTGGTAGGCTCACCAATTCCAGGAGTGTCGATGTACTTGAAGATCAGGCAGTGGAAGCTATAGTACACCGATCAGCAGAAGCTCAACTGGACAGCGATAGCGATGATGATTCCAATGCGGCTAGAGAGGAGGAGGATGAGGAAGAAGGTGGGGATGAGGAGCTGGTTGAAGAGGAGGTACGACCAGAGGAGCAAGTCCCACAATTAGAGCACTCAAAGCTGGATGAACTGAAGCTGGATTTCCTCAAAGTGTCCGAAAGATTGGGCGTTCTCCTGGAGAAGACTACCTTGATCATGGAAAGAGACAGTGAACAGGAAAGTAAGCACCAGCCATCGTCCCTATCGCCATCTTATAAAACCCATCCCAGAGCCGAATTAGCCCAACTAAGGGAAGACAAAGAAAGTGTTAACAGCCCCAACTTCGATGAGTACACCAATGTAATGCGGCGGTACCCAAACTCCAGTGAGACCTCCAATCCCTCCCAAAACTCCAACAGCTGGGACTGGGAGGCATCTCCCACGGGCAGTAATCCGCAGCCTGATTATCACAAATACTACCAGCGCATTGGAAGAGGGGAAAATATGTTGAACTCCGTGATAAAGGCGTTGAGAAAGGATGCCTCCTTTACGGATCTTGGAAAAGAAGAGGCGGCTGTTAATGAAAGTGCTGAGAGGTTGGGCGGCGATAAGTTGCTCTACAAGGAGCAGGCCTGTGAGGCAGCTGGTATCTCCAATCTGATGAAGCGTCAGCCACTGTGCTTAGAGGAAAATTACCCCGCCGTGTCGAATCTATTCTACTCCAATCCCATCATGGAGTACGCCGAGGAAACTGAAGTGAGGCAGAATGGCAATGAAAATGTGAACAAGGTTGAGATCCGAAACAGTGAGATCAAGTGCCTGAAAAAGCCGAATGCTGGGCAGGTTCGGGATATGGTAGCACAATTGCAAAATAACATTGATTCCAATCGGCAGGATTCCCAGACAGCTAATGTGATTGCGGCAAGATCACACTCCCGCTTGAATAATAACTTCCAGCACATAGAGGCCACATCTTCGAATCCTTCGCCCACCTACAGTATGCCTCACAGAAATACTGCCCAGTTCGGCCTGCCCGAGAGACACATACCCAAAGATGCCTACTTTCATGAGCTCCCCCATCGGCCACCGATACCGCAAAACCCGCAGAGAACGATCCATTCCGGCTATGTACCAAATGCGAGTTTCTATCGTAATGAAGACCTATACGTGGAGAGGATGCCCCAATCAAATGTTCCCCTGAGGCAAGGAGACTATGTGGGTGCGGTCACCTATAGGCCTCTTCAGTCTCCCACCTTTCAGGCTATTGTCCCGCCCCATCCAAATCCTCGCCCACGGAACTGGCCGCATCCCAGTCTTCCACCTAACGATATCGATCTTGACGAGGTGTCAGCCGTTGGCCTTTACAATAATGTCTCGAGCCTGGTTTAAGTTTGCTAATCCACCAAGTGTTCCCATTGTACAAAGCTAATCCTAATATATTTATCTTAATCGTATTCAAGTTATAAACTAAAACAAAAGTTAACTTATTTTCAATTGATGAATATTATGTAGAGGATTTAAAAATATATAAATACAAAACAAAGTTATTACCCACTAGAATTTGTTTGTTTTATTAAAGGATTTTTAGTTTTTAGTGCTTTTGAATAATTGATTTGTTAAGAATATACATATATTGTTACGAGAACCTCTAAAAAATAAGTAAAAAATCTTTTTTTAGACTAGGCTCAATTTATTTTATGAAAATTTTGTAGGTCCCCCCTAAATAACATGAAGAGGTTTAAATGGTAATAGGCGCTCTTTTCGAGGCATGTATAAGATGATATCACAAACAATTTTGCTAATATCACAGCTCTCGATTTAAAATAAAACACAACCGAATGTTTTCGATCAAAATATATTTTTCTTTAAAAATGTTTAATAATAGTATTTATGCATGTGTAAATATCAGAATGTCAAGTACATATATTTATCGATAACAGATCATTTTGGTGTTTTGATAGACATGCGGCTTATGAACTCTGTAAAATGGTGTAAACAAAATCAACCAGGAAATCATCTCAATAATCGAGCTCAGATTGTTGGTGGGAATTCAAAAAAAAAATTCCCACCGCTGACAAAAGTAAACAAGTAAATTGGGCAACATTTTGATATCGTTCACCAATATGTCTGCGGTATTGTTAGTACAATTTAGCAAGTGTCTAATGATGATTTCTCGATGTCTTCATATTTAATTTAAAATTCTATAAATGACACTGCTGCTGAACGGCGCCTGCTACTTAAATTTACCGGCCACTTAATAATATCTTAATTCTGAATAGTCATATTACAAATACAAATTACAATAGCCAATAATTTAGTCACTTCGTATGTATGTATAAGTATGTTTCTATGTAGGTATGTTCTATGTAAGTATGTATATCGCCTAATTTAAGTCTATTAATAATAGTTGTTGCTTTTTGTTTGGGGCGTTGTTGGCTTGGAAATTGATGTGACGTGAGTAACTCGGCATTTCGCTCTGTGTAACTTAACAATGTTGGTCTTAGGACTGCAGTTGGGTGTGAACTATGATCGCTTGAGTGTCGCCAAGTGACATATTCTCGGTCAGGTAACGTCTCAAAGAGGACTGGTATCGGAGTCTTCGCGCTCTTGGATTGTGGTAATGCTCTGCTGCAAGGCGTTCGGTGTCAGCCATTCTCTAAAAGCCGGTAGGAATAAAGAAAATGATCATTATAATCATACACTTAATTTTATTTAATTTCAGTGCCTTACTTTGGCAAACATCTTTGTAGAAATGGCACACAGGAGCTGAAATGCGCTAAACGATTGACCCAACTGGGTATTTCTTGGCCGCAAAGTATCTAAAATGGGAAACAAGAAAAGTATATATAATTCATTGGCTTGTTAATCCACTACATTTTGAATATGTTAATAGAGTTTCAAAGTTCCCATTTTGGTTTAACTTTAACAAGATGTAAATTTCTTCAATTAAAACTAACTTAAAGGGCATGTCGTCTTACAGAACATTAAATAACTAATTTTAAAGAAAGGCCTAATATATTTCGTACCCTTTAATGGAAATGGTTGGAGTAAGAATATGAGAACACTATTGATTTCTTATTTGATTCAAATGAATCACTACAATATATTTCGGTTGTAATTCACGGTATCTGACATGGGGTGATTCATTAGTCAGCACACCCCAAATGTTGTATTACTATCTGTAAGGAACCACCCAAAGTAAAACCTAGAACATCAATGGAAAGTTCCCCTAATTTAGTAGGTAAGCGAAAACTCACCTGAGTTAATGAGCCCGAGAAGTGGTTGCAGTTGTTGTTCATGAGATGGTATCGGTCGCCCCGGAACTGATTACCCAGCTCCTCGACGATCCGTCGCACCTCCTCGTACGTAAAGTCGGTGCAGCCGATTTGAATGCTCTGTCGGAACTGAAACTGATCGCCCAGCTCGTCGTGATCCCGCGGTGAAATCTCGAAGACCCCTGTAAAGGGAAAGGGATGTCCGCCGTAGGCGAATTCGGTGCCGAACGCTTCTACGCCGGAGTGAAAAACGCCCAGGCCAATTGAGGTGGTGTACTCGTTGATCCAGTACTGCAAATGAAAATTAATGTAGCTATAGGAGTGTATTCGAGATTGGACTACCCACCATATCATAGACATTGAGTATAACCGGCTCGCGAGTCCCCATATTGGATGGCAGGAGCTCTTCATTACCGATCTCGTCTTTTGGAACACTAAGACAGCTCGGAAACGACAGATTGCACGGCAATCCGTTGGAGAACATTGATTAAATGCGTCGTTGGTTTTGTGGGGTCGAACAATTTATGAAGTCTGCAATGGGGGGCTCTTAATTAATCTTGGTTTGCGAGCATATGCTGGTTTAAAATACACATCATATACAGTGTGGAATTGGACGCTTTAACTTTAACCGATTCTCGGATCGGCCGTGCACACATATATCAGCTATCAGAGTGCGTAAGATACATGGGTACATATATGTATACATATCTGGATGCAGTTATATATATATATACATATGTATGTATGTACACTCGCCTCGAATAAAATGTGTCATAGCAGCAGGACGACTTACACCTGTTCAAGGATCTCTCAGCATCCCATACTCCAAAACAGAAACTTAACAAATCATAAGAGGCCAAATTATATGATAAAAATTAGCTTTTCAACTTCCGCTTTTGTTTTTAGTTTACACAAAATTTTTTTGTTTATGGATTGGTTGCAGAGTTGTCACTAGTGCTAAGACAGTTCTTGTGGAACTGGTTCAGCAATAAAGGTGGCTCGATAACGATAAGTGAGCTGAGCTTAATCAGTTTTAAGAAAAAACTGAGGCTTTAATTATCGGATACATTCTCAAACTAATGATTTTCCTTTGATGAAAATGGTCTTTTAACACCTCTTTTAATACTGATCCTATATAGGTTTAATACTGCAAACGAACTAGTTCCCAAATGTCTCACAGCTGACTGCTTATCAGAACTGGTCCACTCCCTAGTCGTTCCATTCCCGTTGCTAAAGTTAATTCGCAGACAAAAACATTACAAAATTTAACTTAATTAACAAAAAGGGCTTTGTTTTGGTCAAAATGTGCAGTTATGTCTGCTTATGACCAATAACCTGATATTAAAGCCTGACTAAGATATCACTGCCGCAAGCAAAAGGCTAATATTGTGCCGTGACGAAGTCCAATCGATTGTTGCCCGAATTAAAAATACGCCAAACAATTGTTAAAATACAACATAAATCGAAAGTTTGAACAATGTTATACATATAGGATTAAGCTCCTAATTACTAGATCTCAATATCGGCTGTAAAATACAATCAATGTGGGTGTGGTCTATAGCATACACGTGTGGGCGTGAGTCTAAATAAATACAAAGAGGCACAATCTAATGGGGCCTGTTCTTGCAGATCCATGAAAAACGGGTGATACATGCTATAAGGAAGCTATCTCCCCCAGACATGCTGCTGGACACTCAACTGACCAACTCTGAGCAACGGAAAAGCAATAACTAGTAATAAACATAGGCCATCTTCCATAGAGACAAAGTCAGCCATGTTTTCCGAGGGCTACACCGATGACACCGATGAACTGGACACCATCGCTGATGTGATGGGACTCCGATCCCAGGCTCGACTCAATACCTTTCGCGAAATGTGGTACCATGTCTTTCTGTGGGCCCTGTTTTCGTCCATTTTCATTCACACCTGTGCTGCCGTGGTGGCCTTTGTGACGCTCCGAAAGCACAAGTTCGGGCGATTCTTCTCGATCCTGATCCTGGTTATGGGCTTCCTGTCACCTGCCTCGAGTGGAATCATCAGCAGTGCGGTCATCGCCTTCGTGCATCGAGCCTCCAGCCTACCCATGTCGCCCATATACGCCATGATCTGGGGCCTCGGTCAGACCATAGTGTCCGCCTGCCTGGGATTCACCCGGATTTTGGCCACGCTATAGAGTTCAGACTAAAGTTTTTCATAGGCCAAGGCTCTCTCATCTCTCGCCCAATCCAATGTTCACAAAGCTCTGATTCTCGACCAGACATATTATCAATTTTTCAGGTGTGCAAACAACAATTAATTGAATTCATAGTTATGTGTATAGGAACATTGTGATTTTAAAATTATACCTTCAACGATGAGAAGAATAATGTAAAATATTTAGATCTTACTTAAACATTTAATTCTAATTGTACATACTTTAGGAAGCTAATATATGAGCAGATTCTAAAGCCTACGAACGAGGTGTTTTTTAATAATATTGACAATTTATTTTCATTAAAAATGGCATGAAACTAGAGAGGGAGTCTTTAGATTTAAATACGCTTGCATATATCCAATAGATTATGTAAGTCAATACTTGACATTAATTTTTAAATTTATATCAAGGTATTTGGATCCTTGGCATTATACAAAGTGTACAGTTTATTACTGAGAACATTTCCGATGCGACGTTCGGTGTGCAGAGGCTGGGGCCCATTGCAGCGCTTGATCTTTAAGTCGGCAAGACTTTGCACTGCAGTGGGATCATTAGAAAAGTGATCTAAAAGTTTCTTGGGACAGGGATACTGCGCTATAATGGATTCGGCCACCTCGAGTGTGACCTGGGGTAATCTATTTAGATGCTGCTGCCATAGACGTCCATATCCATTTCCGTGTTCCACTCGAACGCACTGCTTCTTATCGTTGGCCAGGTACTTTTTGAAAGTGCCCAGCGTTTCGTTGCGTTGCTTCTTATAAGGAGCTTCCGCTATGGCTTTCGTGTAGCGCTGGAGAAAGGCCAACAGATCCTGGCTTTCGGGCCGATTCAGTTGTTCCACGTGGAGCTCCTGGAGCAACTGCATCTCTATCAAAGCATCCTGGCTTGCTGAACTGCCGTGCTTGCTATGACGAAGTTTAGGTAGTGCTACCGTGTACTGGCAGCCAGGAAACGACGCGTGTAATCTGGGTCCCAGACAAACAAGACTTTGATTTTTAACAGCCTTTTGAAAATCATTTTCGGATAACCATTGGACCACTTGATTCTCACGCTTCCAGGCTTCATTCAGACCAGTGGGACTGGTTCCTAGGGTAATCGTCTGCTGTCCCACATTACGTTCCCATATAATGCTGTAGCTGACTGGCAGGCTCCTTATTTCATACTTAACATCCTTGGAATTTAGTTGGTTCAGCATCTCCTGACCCACGGGTATGCCCAGAAATCCTGCATCTATGACCATACGCACATATTTCATGCATTCTCCCGGTTTGATTCGCTTCTGTTGCTCCCGTAAAGCCTGCTTGTGCAATTTATCCACTTTATTTGACATTGCTTAGAAAATTCCGCCAAGTCTGGATTAAAAGTCGGTATAGAGATGGAAGAGGTTCGATAATATATAATCTATTTTTGAGTTTTTTTCCATGGTTTGAGAAACCACTAAGTTCCCATAGAATCTTCGTCTCATTTGTGGTTTTTCTTGATATTGACAATTTGAATAGGATTAATTATAACTTTCCGCTTTACTATCGAAACCAAAACCTAGTGTTTTAAAAACCCAAATATATGATATATCGATATATCGTGACAGGTTTACCCATCCCTAACGCAATCCCATTGCAACGCACGCCACACGTGTTTTATTCACTGCGTCTTTAAACACAGAAAAAAAGGTCCAAAATGTATCTGATGTACACAATCAACGAAAACGGTGACCGAGTCTACACTCTTAAGGTAAATTTACTTTAATTTTGATTAATGCATCTGCTAATTTGTTAATTTTATAGAAACGCACTGAGGATGGTCATCCAACTTTGTCCGCTCATCCAGCACGCTTTTCGCCAGAGGATAAGTACTCCCGCCAGAGACTCACCATTAAGAAGCGCTTTGGACTGCTCCTCACCCAGAAACCCGAACCCATCTACTAAGGCGGAGTTTTATTTTAAGTAGTGTACATTTTTATTTACAAATAATAAGTTACAAAATAACACAACTACTTGAAGAACGTTTTTAAATGCGGCGCTTTAATCCCGCCGTATAATCGAACAATTGGGCATTCCGGAACTCTCCCCGCATATCCAGAACATAGTAGAGGGTTTTCCCTTTGACCTTAATGGGCAGTTGCACTCTGGCTAAATTCCGTGATTCCTCGGCGGAAACACATTTGAGGGGCACTGTCATAATACGATTGCGGTTGAAAGGTCCGTAGGTCACAAAGGAAACGCTTTGACCTCCCTTCCTCAAGATAAGAAAACGCACCGAGCGAAGGGTAAACATCCAGACAGCAACCAGAATTCCATATCCTAAAGGGTTTCTAAAGTGTTAGAAGGTCGCAATGCATTGATAGATTACTCGCACACACTTACCTATCAAAAAACTGCAAGCTGTAATCCCATTTCTGTACTTGTTATCGCCTAGATTTATTCGCTGGAACCACTTTAGATCCTCGCCGGGTTTCTCCACCACCGGCGCATCCTTCAGCGTAGTAAAGGCAAAATGCGAGAGATATGTCCAGAAAACAAACTGACAAATGCCGAAAAAGTTCAGCATCTTGTAAAAGTTTGGATTCTCATACTTGAAGAGTATTATGTCCTTGGGCACACTGGTGTTCACATCGAATGGGGCTGTTTGGGAGGAGAACTTCTTTATCGAGGAAACCGGCGATTTGCTAAGAATAGTCGGAACTGTCAGTCTTAAACTCGTAAAGCTAAGGCGCTTAATTGAATTGACTCCCTGACGCAGGGCAAAATTTAACAGATTGCTCATCTTTATTGAAAATTTCCTGCATTTGTTATTATAAAACAATTTAACCTACAATCTACAGATGTTTATATTTTGTTTCGTTTGCCATTGGTTCCATAGTTCGGGAACCGGAATCAGATTTGCACTGCTGCGTTTAGGGATGGCACGTGATGGTTCCTTTCCCTGACTCAAAATATTTTAAGATTGAGGGAAAAAATCTTAATTCTCGTTTTATAAAACACGTATTCTATATGTGCTGTTACTTATTTTAAAAATATCAATCATATTTGCAAGTACTATTACTTAAAACCAATTTTAAGGTAGGAGTTCCAATTATGAGCCATTGGTTCCGTTAACACAAAATTACAGTCTTTTTTGCACCCCTAGATGCTACTGATGATATTGTTCGGTTCAAAACTAGAGATGGACACGGGTATTGCCGTCACGATGTTTTAAATAGTATAACAAGAGTTTTCCCTTTTGCGAGAATATGGTTTGTTTTCAAGCGAGTATCCTAACTATTCCCATTATGATTAGTGACATTTTGGGTAACCAGATATTGAATTAATAGCTTACTGTATTAATATTTCGTTAAATATATTAATGTTGAGTCCAAATGTAGTATAACGGATAAGAACATACCAGGCTTAAATAGTTCAAATACAAAGTATTTTCCATTAACGTTTCTTCATAGAAAAACTAATTTGAACCTATTTAAAAAACTTGATTCGATTTTTTATAGGTTCCCAGTTCCGTTTGAGATATCTTAAAATTACTCATAGTCGTGGTAACGAACACATCTCTATTCCACATGCCGCTCATTTGCAATCTGGGCGCTACTCTTTGGAACCAGTTGTGCCTGGACTGGTTCTTTTCGGCACCTTTTGTTGTTGTCTGATTTTAGTCTGCGTTTCATTCTTCATCGTTTAAGGGCATCGGAAACGGATTTGCCTGCAAATTGTAAACAAATCGTCAAAAAACTGTTATATTATTTTAAATCACTGTCCATTGAGAGTTGTAGACGTGGGTTATGTCATATCCCAATATTTTTCGTGACTAGGACAGTTATTAAACGAGTTTATCGGGTCATAGGAAGGTAAGTGCAAAATTTTTTTCTTTAAATTGTATTTATTATCTACACAAAACACCTTATAATATAATTGACATTTCTTGACCTGAATTTATGTTTTTCTTGGTAGTTGGGTTAAGATTTGAGGTTTTCGAACATTTTTTAATTTGGGTTGGGTACCATACGTCAGATATGGTCGAGGCTCTTCCAAGGCATTTGTGTTTTCAGGGTTGTCAGGTGGTTGCTTTTCGCACAGGTTATATGAAATCAGATATATATCTGAATTAATTTCGTTGGTGATTGATGGACTAGACGATTCACACATCCACGTGACTATTGGCCGCAATACTATAGCAACGCTAAAAACATATGACTTGCTGGCGACAACCCTGCTCGACAGCGAGGTCACAATATTGTTTATAATTGCGTTTTAGTTGAACTAACTTGGGCATAATGCATTTTATATATGATGTAGCGTAAGCATAATGCAAACATGGCAACTCTGAAAACATTAAATTGTACAATAGGTGAATAAAAACGTTGCGACGTTTTGCTTTTGCTGTTGCTTGCCAGCTTGCTGGTTTACTTTTTTTCGGGGTTGGGTCTCTATGAAAAATCTGATATCAGATATTGATAGTGGGCGCTGAGAGGATTTCAAAAATGTTTTTGATCTCGTGAAATTTCCAAAAACTTGGATGTTTTTCGACCTAACCTCACTCTGCATCAAAATCGATACGTAACCTAAAAAGAATGTGAACGCGTTGCAAAATTGCACACTTACACATTTTGGTATACATACAAACTCACACAGATATACCGTTGCTAATGCGGTCGTGCTCTAGTGTGCGTGAGAGAGTGAGATAGATATAATAGACATAACGCCCAACTCTGGTTTGCATATATAAAAAAAAAAGGCTTTAAAGACGATTCACCAGTTAATTTTATTTGGTTGCAAGAGTACATAAAGAGTAAATGCATCTTTGTTTGCATTTGTGGACCAGCAGATAGAAAACTAATTATCTGGGATCTGGGAAAGTATTATCATTGTAACAATTCTCAATTCGCTGATGCATTATGCTAACCCTAGCTCGTAGGATCAACTCTTTATACGGGGCTGGACACCAAGTTTAAATTTGGACTATCAGATATAGCTAACGATGCCTCAATTTTCGTTACTTGCTGCCGTAGCTGTTGCTTTTGGCCCGCTGCTGTATCTTTGTCGTGTGGTATTCGGCGATACGCGAACTTTATTTAATTTCTACATACAGACAAACACATATAGCCAGGTGTATATATGTTTGGCCTCTTGTTCTCTTTCTCAATTGCTCTCCGGCCGCTCTCTCTGTCCGTCCCGCTCGCTCCGCGACTCTATGCGAAACCGGTATCCTGCCAAGGTCCTAAGTGCATCTCAAAAAGACCTGACGGACGGACCCTATGTTCCAAATTCTTACATTTTTGAAAGTTTTTTTCGGCAAGGTATATTTTTCCAAACTTATTCTTTAAATCTTTAACATTTTTCGTTTTGCCACCTCTTAAATTAAGTTTTTAATTAGAGTTTAAGTTGAATGATGATATGGATAGTACTAAATCGTCTTTACCCGTTTAATGTATGCCCCCCCCTATGAAATTGCACTTAATGGGAGGCCATATAGTCGTCCCGCTCTAACGCAGTACGTCCGCATCTCACCCTCCCACTCGCAAGCAACAAAACGCGTTCTGTTTGCGCTATTATTATTCACATTTTACTTTTTGCTATTAAACTTTCGTTTCGATTCAACGAAGATCTCTTCTTTTGGCTAAGTTTAATTCTTGGACCATCCCCCTTTGCTTTTTTTAATTTTCATTATTTCGTTCCTAATTACCACCAAACCAAAAGAGAACTGCCAACTTGCTGTAGACAAATAAAAAAGTAGGCGAATATTACGTTGTCCTACTTTTTGGCAGAGGTTAAAGTTCGAGATGTGAAAGTGATTTCCGTGGCGTCCGGTTAGAATTACATTATCGAATCTTATCATCCCGAGGCACGCCCTCCTGCCGTCTATCTCCCTCCCGCTTTCCCTTACGCCCCTCACGCTTTGCCGCTCTCAGCTGTTTACTCTCTCGCTCTCATTTTGTTCACCATCAGCTGGTTTGGCGTTCGCCTCGTTCATTTTTGCTCGGAACGCGGCGAGAAGTTCAAGTAATTTTGATTTTTCCAAGTGTAGCTAAATCGAAATAAATAGAAAACCGAGTATCTGGACACTCAAACTTGTAAGTCACCTTTAACTTATGTTACTATTACAATTGCCCAAAAATAATAGCCTAACAAGCCCATTAACTCAACCTAACCTTACTTTTGTTACCGCAAAATTTTATATGCTTATAACTGTCATTTCAGACGACAATGTTATAGGTTGCATTTCAATTTCTCTTCACCCCCTATTTTGCATCTTTCGTTAGCCATTTCTATCCTTTGCAAGAATATTTATCGTCGCTTTGCTTTTGTCTCTTCGGTGCAGTCGTCGCCACGATGTGTTGTTATTGTTGCGTTCGGAAAGCAACGAGCGCTTGGAGCAACCAACAAAAACAACAATAACACATGGTTAGACTATAGGTAGATACACACCGTATCGAGTCCAAAAAAAGAAACAAAAAAGCTGTTGGTCTTCAGTTATGTTTCTGGTTCCGAAGTTTTCGAATCGGAACACTATCTAACACCTTATGATAATCGGTTCTCCCGAGGGATAAAACTCTAGAACGCTTATCTCAGTGTTAGGTTAGAAAATGGATTTGAATGAATTCGTTAGGGGCTAATACATATGTATGTATATAAGTACATTCATACGTTTCGGTTCCGATTTGAAAAAAATTCATTCGCTCAAGGCAAGCTTATAAAGTATAATTCCCAAGTTATTACTTTGACATCGATAGAGAGAAGAAAACTATTACCAAAGCTTGTGAAGCTTTCTTTTAAAAGCTCTTTAGACAATTTTTTTTACTAGCACATGGTATATACTCTTATATTTAATGTTTTAATTTTTTTGTCTTTTTCTAACCGGAGTCGTAAAATCTTTTGAAACCTTGAAGAGAAGAGCCGCGGTTATTGATTGCCTTTTTTTTGCTTACTAAAATGTTGTTTTACATTCATTTAGCCGTTCAATGTTTTCGGAATAGTTTGGGAAACAAGAAGGATACAAAATGATGGAAGTTAGCCAGAACGTCGAACTAAAGGATTTGTCCTCAGAAGGGGCTTTAATGCGGACTCTTTCATCAGACCTCGGTGGTGAAGTAAAACCCCTCTCCACCCCTGGTAAGTTTAAATCAAGTAAATGGAGAAATATGCCTTAAGGTATATCGATATTTGAATTACAGCAATTGGCCACGAATCGAGTCGGACGTCCAGGGATGAGGAGGACCTGTGTGAGCTTCCCAATGGAGTCGATACCACTGACACCGTCAAGGATATTATAGACAAACCGGTAACAGGATCGGACCAGGGGCGCAATGCGGGCAGCGATTTGGACGCACTGCTGGACAAGATAAGCTCCATTGTGGACTGTAGTCCCAGGAATTCAGACGATCTGGAGGCACCCGATAAGAGCGAGGAATGCGACTCTGCGTCGACGAAGGTAAAAACAGATGAGACGGAGGAAAATCAGGCAAAGCATAGAGAAGTTATAGAAGAAGAAGAGGTGGTGGAATCAACAGAAAGCGAAGATCGCGTGGAGCCGGTATCCGAGTTAGAGACTGAGGAAAAAGCTGAAGTAGAAAATATTGAAGACTTCGAAGAATACGCTCCAGCCAAAGAATCGTCGGAGGAAATCAAAGATATAGCTGAGCTGACAAAGGAAATTATTGAAAAACAAAAAGACGCGAAGGAAAAATCGGAAGAAGAAGATGTGGGCAAAGCACATGCTGCGGATAACAATAAAAAAGAACGGGCAAAGGTAAACACCTCCTCGGATGATGTGTTTATGGATGCTCTAGACAGCATTTCCAGTTCTGATGAGTTTGATGCTTTCGGTCCTCAGGATTCTGAAAAGCCCAAGCTAAGTAAAAAGCTTAATACCGGGGATAAACCAGTTGCCGAACTGGAAGAAATTTCCTCCGATGATGAAATTCTTAAGGTCGCGAAGGTTGATATAGTTGAGCCAGCAAAACCCAAAGCGGACATCATAGATTTGGACTCCTCCGACGAGTGTGTGGTTTGCGAGACGACAACGGAGGAACTGAACACCATAGCCAAAATAGATGATACCGTAAAAGTTACTCTTAATATAGGAGCAGCAACGGATAAGGAGACTAAAAAAAATAAAATTTCAGAAAAACCCGTGGATACGTCTGAAGATGAGCCAGTTAAAGCTAACGAAGCGAGAGAGCCTCAGTTAGAAGATAATCCCACAGAGGACTCACCAAGCGTAAACGAAGACACAAAGGTAACCGAAGAGCCGCCAGAGCCCATTTTTATTGGAGGCGAAGAGCCCCCATTAGTCGAAGTGTCCGAAGAGTCAAAGGAAACAGAACTGCCCGAGGAGGATAAGAATACAGAAAAGCCTAAAGTGGCCAAAGATACTAAAGAGCTCGATGAGGTCAACAAATCTGAGCCGGAAGAGGGCAAGGAAACAGAAAATCTTGATGAGATCAAGGAAACAGAAGAGCTGGAGGAGGCTAATATACTAAAAGAGGAAGAAGCGGACGAAGGAAAAAAAGAGGCGAAAGAGACCGAGGAAATAGAGTCGAAAGAGACCCAGGGGTCAGAAATCCCGGAAACGACGAAAGAAATTGAAGACGCGGTGAAAAACAAGAAAAAAGAAAAGCCAGAAGAGGCACAGTCAACTGAGGAGACAAAGGAGACTTTTATGATCGAAGACGAGGAAACAGAAGATCCTACAAAAGTGGGCAAAACTGAGGTAAAGAGGCAAGCTCAAACCAAGGAAATAAACGACACCTCGACAGTCGATTTGCTTATGGAGACGGACCAAAATACCCTCGAAAGAGAAGAGAAGAAAGTGAAAGATGATGAACCAATGGTTATATCAGAAAATAAGGAACCCAAAGTTAATGGGGTTTGCGAAAAGTCATCCGTTGACAATGACAAGGATTTGGTTAAGGAAAAACCAACTAGTGAAAAGGAAGCCAAAGAGACGGAGTCCGATGACGAAGTAATTTTCTTTGAGCCTATTGATAAGACCATTAAGGTTGACCCTTCAGAAAGTAAGATGTCCGAGAATCCTAAACCTAAAGATGACGAAGTTGTCCTTGTGTCAGAGGATGAGGATGAAGAACCGCAGGCAAAGAAGCTGGAAAAGGACCTTCTCCAAAGTACAGAGAAAGAAAAGACTGCCAAAGAACTTCCCAGTGATTCACCAGCGGAATCGACTGAGGCCAAAGGCCTACTATTGGACAATTCCGACAATGCGTGTGATCAGTTTGAGAAACTGAAGACACACGTTAAGGCGAAGTCCACTGCCACGGAGGATGGAAACAGTAATTCGAGCAATCTTTTGCGGCCCGCTGAGGAGGTCGAGGAGTCGGCATCGAAGCGAGTACGTCTTAGTACCGATGAGAAAATAGAACCTGATCTGGAGACGGGGCTTGAAGAACCCCAAACATCCTCCATCGAAAAGGAAGCTAAGAAGGAAATTGTCAAGCGGAGCCATGACCTTCTAGGCAACAGTCCGGATCGGGAAGAAGAAATACCCAATAAAAAACTTAAGACTGAAGACTCCGATTCGAACAGCTCCGTCGACGGAACGCTCCAAATTGACCTGGATGGCCAGGACGAACATATGAAGGTAAAACCGGCGGGTTCACCCAAAGAAGAAGACGGAAAAGAACTTAAACTTGAGCTCAAGCCTGAACCGCAAATCAAAAAGGATATTAAGCCGCTTCGTCTAGAGTTCTTTAAGTCCTTCCGCCGGAGCTTGGATACAATGACCCGCGACGATTTGGAGGAGTTGGTGCTGCAAAAAGTCGTCGAAGGAATGCTTGTCAAAAGTGAGTTTGCGGACATCCGTTTGCAGCTCGACAAATGCGAGAATACACTGGCCACTTACCGACGGAAGATTGCCGAGGTGTCCAAGCAGTTTCTCGACCTTGAGACTGTGCACAAGCGGGTGCTGAAGGATCTGGAGACCAAGAACTCGCACTTCACAGCACCGGTGCGTATAACGCGGGCCGTTGGCCTTCAAGTGGGTATCCCGTTCAAGGCCATTAAACCCACGGTCTCTGCTCCGGAACAGGCGCATTCTGCAGGCAGTATGTTGGCCCCGCCTAGCGGTACGCCTCCTAAGGCCAGCACCTCGCCGATGCGATCGCCAATGCGGGCCAGACCACCCGTGCCTGGACCGGCCTTTTCAACAGGACCTTCATCCGGCCTGGGTCCCAACCCCAGTACCACTCCAAGCCCTAGTCCCCAGCAGTCTCGGTCCACCGCTAATATTGCTCAATCCCCTGCAGCGTCGGCCACACCCACGGCCCCAGTGCGACGGGGTTGCCTCCAAAAGGTAACACCACAGCGACCAGGGCCCGGTAACATCCTACCTGTGCCGCAGGTCAACAATCAAGCCAACGTGCACCGTTTGCAGACCACATCGCCGGCTGCTCAGAGAACCATGCACGCCTCCAAGCACACCGGAACCACTGCCTCCATGGCGGCCTCGGCGGCCACATTGGCGGCCAAGGTTGCCGCCATGCGGAACCGGAATTCTGCCTCCGCCTACGTGTCCCAGAAGCAGCAACAGTACCAAACGTAAGTATATCGTATTCTTACTGTTTGATTAAAAGAATTCTTGAAAAAGTAGCGTTTCTTGATCGTCATTCTTAGCAGAGTCGATACGCACTTCCTAATTAGAGACCTCCATTAGAACTATTTAGTCCCGTTTAGAAATACTACATGCTAAAGAAAGAAGACTTTTGGAAAGCTACAGCCAGGTAGCATTAACACTGAGAGCTAGTTTGCGTATAAACGGTCTGGTCGGAAATGTCTTTTTCACTCATTTGCAAACTTTTGACCCAAACTATAATACAAGGGTATACAAATATTACGAACAACTATATTTTAGCGTTTTGATTTAAAGTTTACATACTTACCAAGTTTTTTATTGCAGACCTCGTCCTAGTCCTGGTTCCGGCCCCGGTCCCAGCCCAGCCAAACAAGCGCCTAAGTGCACAACGAAAGTGCGAGCCCAGCAGCCACCGCTTTCCGGTGCCACCGTCTCGGTGCCAATGTCGTCTGCCGGCAGCGGGTCAGCGGGATCTGGTGCCTATGGCCAGCAGCAGCAGCCCAGCTTGGCGCCGGCCAAGCCCAAGGAAAAGGCCGTAATCGACCTGACGGACGAGGATGATGCAGCAGCGGCGGCAAAGGCTGCCCAGGCTGCCCTGGCATCCCAGGCTCAAATCGAAGCGAACGCTCGTCTGCGACAGGCGTCCAATGCGGCTGTGAAGCGGAATGCCCAGGCGGCGGCTGGGACAAGAGGAGGTCGTGGAGGCGGAAGTGTGGTTCGAGCATCACCGATGCAACTGGGTCGTGTTAGTGCCCGTCAGATAGTCCAAAACAATGGTGCAGGTGGGTTCAATTGCTTATATTATACTTGTCATGTTATACTAACAGATTCTAATTACAACCCATAGGTCAACGAAGTTCACTGGGCTCAAACGTAACCATGCAGATACGTTCGGAAAATACCCCGCCGGCTGCTTCACGTTTAAGATACTCGCATCCTGCACCGCTGCCCACGTCGCCTGCCCAGCCCTTCAATCCCGCCTGGAAAGTGCCACCTTCGCGACCCGTAATCCGGATCAGTTTGCTGGACACCGGAATCGTTATCTCCTGGACGCTGGAGGACACGAGTCCGCGGTTTGCTGAGTGTGTAACATACCAGATCTATGCATACCAGGAGACGATTCATGAGCCCAGCACGGAGAGCTGGCGGCATGTGGGCGATGTCAACGCCATGCTCTTGCCCATGGCCGTAACACTGAATCAGTTCCAGGAGAACCAGCGGTATTACTTTGCGGTGCGGGGCGTGGACAACCACCAGCGATTCGGTCCGTTCAGTGTGCCCAAGACCTGGTCGTAAACAGATTGTCGTGGTGGTCATCGGCCACTTCCTTAGGACTAGATAGTAGCTTCCGTAACCACATGTAATTTATTTATGTCCGCATTTCAAGATTTCGTTAATAACGTATTCCATTCGATCGCGTTACAACTTTGTTTCTCGAAAATAGGCCGGAATTATGAGTTTAGTTTTAATTTTTACAGAGATTTTCGGTGAAATTCTAAGGAGTAATAATTTAAATAACTAAAAGTCAGACAGAAACAACAAAACAAAAAAATTGCGTTTTATTCACGTTAGGTTATTACTTATCACTAATAATTAAGTTCAAAACTTACATGAAACAAAATATAATATTGAATAAATATCAAATGAAAAAAAGATTTCGTTGTACGAAATCGTGGCTATTTAAATTTATTTTTACGCATGCTTTTGGGGAATCCACCTTTAAGGCACTGCCTATAAGGCCTAAGTAGAACTAATTGCTATACACGAAACTCCACTATATTTCGAGATCTCAAAATTATTCCTGTCTATAAATCTATCATTAATACTGCCTGACGTTACAAAACAAGATTGCATTCTTAATACTCATAAAAATCCCAACTTCCTAACTTTAAAAACACCAAAGTTGTGGCATTTTCAATCGTTCAGTTATATGGCAGCTATAGGATAAAGTCGGCCGATCCTTATGAAATTTGATAGGTCGGATTGATTGGCCAAATATAAAACCCATAAAAAATCCCAGCTTCCTAACTTTACAAACACCAAAGTTATGTCATTTCCGATCAATCAGTTATATGGCAGCTATAGGATATAGTCGTCCGATCCCGGCCGTTCCGAAGGACATGGCTATATCAACTCAGGAGGTGATCCTGATCAAGAATATATATACTTTATAGTGTCGGAGATGTCTCCTTCACTGCGTTGCACACTTTTGACCTTATTAAGGGTATAATAAAACCCTTGGAAATGGAAATTTCCAACCCTATAAAGAATGCTCAAATCGTATTTTTATAGATGTATGGCATACATTGTATGCTGATCAATTTTGAAAACGACGCTGATGGAAGGTCTAAATACTATACATTTTTATACCCTTGCAGAGGGTATTATAATTTCAGTCAAAAGTTCGCAACGCAGTGAAGGAGATAGTTCCGACCCTATAAAGTAATATATTCTTGATTAGCATCACCAGGAGAGTCGATCTAGCCATGTCCGTCTGTCCGTCCGTCCATCCGTTTCTACGCAAAGTGGTCCCTTAGTTTTAAAGCTATCTGCTTGAAACTTTCAGAAAAGTTGTCTTTTTATTGCAGGTAATATATAAGTATTTGCTATTATTTAAATATTATAGAATTACGATTTTAATTAAATTAAAGTCGGGCAACAATATATAACATAGCTGCCATAGAAAAGATGCAAAATGCAGCGGAAAATCGACATACCTAGCTTCATTGTTTTTAGTAATATAGGCATAGAAATCGAAATGTATTCGATTTGTAATAACTGCAAGGGTATATAATCTTCGGCATGCCGAAGTTTGCTTTCTTTCTTGTATAATTTTTTTATGATTGTTCCGAAGGCCTGATCCGGCTCGTTCCGACTGCAATAGAAAGACATCTTTTGGGAAAGTTTCAAGTAGATAGTATTAAAACTGAGGGACTAGTTTGGGTAGAAACGGACGGACATGGCTAGATCGACTCTCCTGGTGATGCTTATCAAGAATATATATACTTTATAGGGTCGGAAATGCCTCCTTCACTACGTTGGAAACTTTTGACTGGAATTATAATGCACTCTTCGAGGGTACAAAAAGCTTTATTGATGTACAAATGTATCAACTAATAGTTAATGACTGCCCATTCAAGACGATCCAAAGTTATTAAAATCATAAGAGCGCTAATTTCATTAGAACGCTTGTGTAAACTAAGCTGCATGTTTCATAACTAACACTGTAATTGGAAATGACCCTTATGTTTGATATGAACAAATATTATTGGTCTAATTGGTGCTTAAGTGGTATTTGCCTGAGGTATTGGTTTATGTCCTGCCTGGTCATTATGTATGAGACATTTTTGTGTGTGTCGAGGCTATGTGCAAAATAGAGGAATATTGACTGCATTCGATGGCACATAAAATATAGATAGACGCTCGTTTACGTGAGTGTGCCATCCAATTTGGGGGTCACAAGAGTGTCCGCCGTAATGCTCCCTGCGGAGCGACAGTCCCAATTGTATAATTGGAATTTACTTCAGTCAACTATGCATCAAAGGAACCTTACTAAAAGAAAAAGGTTTTCTTATATACAGCAAGCTTTTAAATTCAAACGTTTCCGTAAAGCAATTAAAATTACTAACTTATTTTTTTAATTTTTAATTAATGCTTTAAAAACAAAATCAAATTTGTATTAAGTTTATAATAACTAAGCCACATCAAAAAAATAAATTTTTGTTATATATTTGATTAATTGTATACAATCGTAGAAATTTAAATCCTTAAAAGTTTTGTGCAACGTGACTTACTAAAAGCTTAATTTAAGGAATCTCCACCGTAGTGGGGTATCATGGTGCATGTAAAGTGCTTCTACCTCCATGTCCTTGCTCCCTCGTGCACTTGACATTGGCTTTCGAATCGGGTTTGTCGCGACATTTTTGCTCATTCATGCGAGGTACAGTCAGGGGTATGGAGGGGGTGGGTGAGCCAGGGGCCAAGGTGGAGGATTGGCCTGGTAATGGCATAGTCGACCCCCCTCGAGTCCTTCCTCTGCGGAGGGTTGGCCACGTGCCGTTCTCTTTCGGCTGTTTCTGCCTTTTCTGCTTTTCCTGCTGCACTTTAAACAGCAGCCAAAAAACCTTGACATTAGGCAGCCGTCGACAAAAAACAAAACGCAAAGATACTCAGGCCTTCGCTTGCGCGGAATTCGTCCTGCAATAATGGCACTGTACTAAAGCTATCCAACCCATACATTTATGTTTAGGACAAAAACTGTACAATACGTTTCTTTAAAAATGTGTGTAATTTTGGTGTAATGTTGTGTGTTTTCATTGTGAAATGTATAACTGCGTGGTTAATTTTCAGGTTTTATAAGAATGCAAAAACCAAACCAAGTTGGATAAGTGATAAAAATGGTTGAATAGAGTTGGAAAAATAAATTCATCATAGCCTTAAAAAAAAAATTTTTTTCTCTCTGCGAATTTAATTTAATTTTAATTTGATTTACCTTAAATGTTTGGATAAATAGTAAAAATATATATACTTACTAGAAAAAAATGGAATAAAGATTTTAATCTAAAACTACATTTGTTTATGTTAGCACATTTTTATTATGAAAATGTATAAAGTTAATTAAATTAAGTTTGTAATACAGAAATATTATTAAAAATGCATCCCCATAATTTTATCCTCTGCAAACATCGTTTAATATCAATCGGAGTAATCCCGTAAACCCTTTGTATGCAATCAATTAGTCGGCAGTTATTTCGGTGACCCCGACACACGAGTGAGTATAATTGAAATACCTGTATGTTCAGTCACCACAATTGTAATTGAATGGCTGCAGTTGTTGCTGTTGCTGTTGATGAAAGCATAATAACAAAAACACAGATGTTCCGTCAGCAGGTTGCACTTTGAAAAAGAGATAGCGGAAAAGAAAGAGGAGAGCCATTTTCCGCACGTTCCCTCAAAAATGTCTCTCATTTTTGCACTGCGCAGGACTTGCAGCACGGCAACACTGGCCGTGGAAGTGCGAGGAAAATGCGGTGGAAATGCTTTTGTTTATTCGCTTGCGGAACGCGTTTCTCGACGGTTGGGTCGCTCGCAACGCAGGAAGCGGAAGTGGTGGCGATACGTGCAACATCCGGCGGCAAACCACACAGAAATAAATAAAACAAAACCAAAAACAAACCTGTGAACACACACCAAAATAAATAGTTTAAATAGAAAAAAATATCCGCATATAATATAGTCTAAGTTTGTGTGCTTGTTAATAATATTAAGAATCAAAATTATTGCAAATAATTCAAAACAGCAAGTGCTTTCGGAAAGCATAAATGTCTAAATTTAAAAGTCGTTAAAACCAAAATAAATATCGATTATAAAAAGTCAAAAAGTTTGTGGAAACAATTTGTAAGTGCCTCAATAAAGACCCCCCTCACCTTTCACCTTTCTTTGTGTGCCACATTCCCTTTTTGTGAGTGTTGGTGTGTGTGTTTATGTATGTTAATTAAATTACCGTTATGTGTGCTTACCATAACACAGAAACACACATATACAAAAAAACCAGCTCTATCAGAGTAATTATAAAACACAAAAAAAACAAGAATGGCACAAAAAAAAACAAAAACAAAGGCCACTGAAAATCCATTTCCCATTTCCTTGTGCTTTCCACCGCTTTCCCCACCGCTCACTCATCATCGCATGTTTTGCCCGCCCTGACACTTGGGGCATATTTCTGTGTTAACTGGGCTGTGCGTGTGTTTATTACTGCGACTACGGCCATTGGCACGTACATCGGACGGAGGACCCTCAATCCGCCGTCCATGTCCTTGCCATGCCCCCTCCAGTCCCGCCCCTGCTTCGCCTACTACTCACAGTTATTAAGCGTCTTATGGCAACTCTCAAAGCGTCCCATAAGTATGCTATAGTTTTTGTTATTCCCCCTAAAGTGAATTCCCTGGAACACCTGGAGAAAATAGTAATATCCCATAAATAAAATACATTTTTATCTCAATCAATAGATTTTAATATTTAACCTATAAAAAGTTCATCAGAATTTAAACTGTAATATTCTAAAAGAAAATAAATAAAATATTATGTAAATCTTACTCATCATAGAATCGTTATTTTTTTAAATCTATTTTTAAAATTTTATTTAACCCAACAGATTTATAAGCAAAGTGTGATAACTTAAATTTAAAAAAATAGCACAAAGGTTAAATGGTTAAAAGTTGTGTTGTATAGTATCGATTTACCGTCTTGTATTGTACTTCCTTTATATGTATATTATAATAATATTATAATAAACACTGTAAATCATACTTTTTTTTAAACAACAGGGACATATTACATTTTTTTTAAAGAGTAAATTGCTTTTTTACGTTTATTTTTCCTATAAAGTTTTAAGAATATTTATTAATTGACCAAATATTATGGATTTTTAAAGGAACTTTTCCTAATTTAATAATAGCAACGATCCCGTTTTTCTTTGTGTAGAGGAGCAGGTGCATTTGACTCAGAATATCAGGTGAGTGCAGCAAGCTTCTGACCAGAAATCAATAGAAAATCAAGCTTAACGCTTATGAATATGATTCTGGGATATTACGGTACCCTGTTTCAGCCACAGCCGCATTTATTGCCCTTTGTAACATTCACCATTTGGACCACTTTTATGTTCGGCCCTTTGCACATCAAATTGATGATAAATTGCAAATTGCGGCCATAAAACCACCAGAGAGTTATTGAAAAATTTCACGAAAAAGGTCGTAAGGTAGCAATAAAAAAGGTATAGCATTTCATATTTATTTTACTTTTTGCAAACTTTTCATAAATATTAAGAAAGCAAAAGAGAAGAATGCTTCTGCAGTTGTTGATAAATAAATTGCTTTTGCTTATAAGTTGGTTAAAAAAAAGGTTTTTAGGTTTACCGTCAGAGAATAAAAATTTTATTACAAATTATTATAAATTATTATTACAAACTAAAATCGCAAAATTATTCCAGAAACGAAAGATTTACAGTTTCATTCCTTGATTGAGAAAATGACCGTTAACGATTTAGTTAACTAACATTTTGTTTTATTTTTCACATTTTAATTTTTGTATCTGGTAGACCGATTTCATCGAGGACTCATTTTACTAGCTCAAGAACGTGCCTTAACTTTCCTATACACATTATAGGGATCTTAACGTTAATATAAAGCTCGGCAACATAGAAAATAATGGTAAAATTCAATAACAGCCAACAAAAATGTTACCTTGAAAAGTATACGCATAAAAACAGAATAGATTTTGTTGTTCCTTCCTAAATATAAAAAATTTACCAAGCCAAAAAGTTATTTGATATTTTGCCATAGAGAATTAATTTAAAGAAATTTAAACAGAAGGCTTTATAATTCCCTTTGGAGTTTTTAACCACTTCCCTCCGCTTACGAAACTTTGATCTATCATTCTATGTCTGCGGGGCAAGTTGGACTGAAAGCTTTTTAGTGTCGTTTCCGCGTACTTCAATTAAGGGCAAAAAAACCGCTTCACACATTAAACATTAGTGGTGTTGCCAGTTAGCGGATGAGTGGGACAATTGCGATGGCCCGACGCAATTAAAGGACACCGACTGCAATTCGTCCTTTGTTGGGGGAATTTGCAGGGCAATTTAAGCGGGTTATTCGGGATGAGGATGGCGACATCTTCGACTGGCACATGACCGTATGCAAATTGCGCCATAATCTCCACTGAGCGTCGGGCATTGAGTCGTCGCCTATTGATTATCAGTTTTGCATACTAATATGCCCGAGTCGGCAGTGCATTGAAACCGAGCCAAATAAAGTGACAAGCTCTGTCCCACTGTTTGTTTCTCTCTGTCCCTCTCGCTCTTTCTGTCCGTCTCTTTCCCTCGTTTGCCATGACTGCTGCCACGGGGGTTCCCCTCGTGTGAATGGGAGTGTGTGCGATGTGTCCGGGCTTAAGTAGCTCTATGTGTCTGTGTGTGCGAGTGGCTATAGTATTTCTGTTTTTCGCTTTTCTTGGCTTTCGATTTCCATCATGGCCTGTTCACGAAAAGTTGTTTTTCCTTCGGTTCTGCTTTTTGCTGCCCTCTTTCTATACCCTCATCGTGAGTATTTTTATTTTGAGAGGAAAATAATATCTACTTACATATATTGAACACAACTCATTTCGTTCTTTATGAAATATTGGTATTAATGAAGATCCTTTTAATGAATCTATTGCCATTAAAAACACAAGTCGTGAAATAACTAGTTATGTTTTTTTTTTAATTACAAAATACAAATACTAAGATAATAAAGAATGAATCGCCTTACACCAAATATTAAATATTAATACACTGAAGGTGTTTTGATTCGTTTTCCCGAATTAATTAATTTAATCATTTAATAATTAATATATGGGTACATTTTTGACTTTTCAATAAATTATGTGCAACAAAAATGTCTGCATTAAATTTATATTATCACGCTAGTCTAAATAATTTACTACTAAATACCAGATGTCATTGATTCTGCATTCATTCTGAACATATATTTAAACAAATATACACACCATCCGTTTTAATAAATTCAAAGGAAAGTTGCCCAAAAAGAGGTATTTAAAGCTCCGTCCCCCATTGGGCCTTTATTTTCAGCTTGTTTGAGAAGTGCCAACGTCGTCGTCAACGTCGCCATTGTTTTCCCCTGCCTTATCACTCCGTAGTTCCCTTTTGGTGGGCGGAAACGGGGAGCGGTGTGGGTTGTGTTCTATCACATTACGTATACGCATTTAGTTCCAATTTTTGCCTCTCGTTCCACGGGTTTTGTTTTTATTTTTATCGGCTTGCGTGTGTAAGCGAATGTTGTGTTTGAGCCTTAGTGTGTTACTGTGTTTGCACTGCCAGTGGCGGCTTTTTTGCTTCCGCTTTTCCTTGACTGTTTTCCACTCGCTTGTGTGTTTCCGCTGGAGTCATAATGGGAAACAGCTGATAATACATGCCCCACCCCACCGCCCCCTTATCGGGACCTTTCTCGAGGGACGCGAAAAGTGGGCGGGTCGGCTATAAAAGAGTTCTGCTAATGGGCGTGTTTTTTAGGCTTTATGTGGTACATCTTCTGGTAATGTGAGGACAGCTCTTGTTTCCGAGTGTTGTAACATTGGTTTGTCTTCAAATCGATTGACGGCAAGCTTTTTAAAATATCGTATTTAATTGAAATATTTAAGCTATGAACTTAAATCCACGTTGTCTTCACTTAAAAACATTAAATTTTTTTTTCTTGCTTAAATCAACATTTACACCGTTCACAATTTTTGAACACACTAGACTCAAATTTTTTTTTAATAGGGATTTACAGCCATTTTAACATGTATATCATAATTTTATATGAAATCATTGTCCGATTTTCGTTTTGAACAATTAGAGAAATAGATATCCTCCACTTGGCAACCAATCCGATCGGCCTAAGCCATCAATCATCCCACAATCCATGAAATTGGACTAAAACATAAAACAACACAACAAAATCGCATCGATGGATATTGATGGGCGGACTCTGGGCAGCTGTCAGTTGGCATTAAAAGTTGTTTGAATGGCGAATTATAATTGCATTTGGTCATTTCGTTTAGTGAAGGGGATTCCCAAAAGGAAGAAGGGGTCGGGGAGAAGTGAGTGATTTATGGTGGGAAGTACGCATGGCACACAGGGCGTATGATAAATGTCTGCAACAAGCTAAATTTGTTAAGGATGGAAATGAAATTAGAGAAGTTCTTAAAGCGTATACAAATACAGGCACGGATAAAAATTAAGATTTGCTATGTCAGCTTTTTGTAAGCACCACTGTAAAATGTGAGCATCCTTAAAATTGGCTTAAAATATGGGAATTATATGTATATACAAAATATTATAATTAAAATAATCTTTTTCTTGCAGAACTGATCTAAAATTAAGATCTGTTTTTTTAAATGTTTTTAATCCCTATATTTATATTTCTTTGTTATTGTTTAAAAGTATAAATGGTTGTTAGGTTTTACAAAGATTTATATTGAGTATTTTATTTAAGAGAACTTAACAAAGTTTTTCCTTTGGGCTTAAGTCAAACCTTCTCTGAATTATCTAAACTATCATTTAAGTAATTATTTGTAGTGGTTTTATTTTATTATCATCCTGTTATTTGTATCCGTACATACACACACATTTGTAATATTAATGATGCTGCTGCTTATGTAAATTGAAAGCAGAAAGAAAACCGCAAAGCATCATCATCATCATCTGCATCATCATCAACTATAAAAGTATTTTTATTCTACCATTTCCAGCGGAATCAGAGCCACAGAAAAGAAAGCTGACAAACAAGCAATATGCGTATAGGCCAGGCCAAAAAGGACAAGATAACAAATCCCCCAGCGGCACTTAAGGCATAAATCTCAAACTCAATCAACCATCCGAGGCTGAGAAAGAGAGGGGAACAGACTCGCTAGACAGAGACAAACGATCTAAGTGGCTGCTGTTCATCTGGATATTGGGACAAAGCCGGTAGCAGAATAAGGAGCAGGAACAGGACCAGGAGCACCCACATCATCATCTTCTTGCATGTTGATTTCAGCTGAAATTGTGACCGCAACGAAGGACAAACAAACTCGAATTGAAGGGGAAAGCTTTCAAGGACACAACATGGCCAGGTGAGTCGGCTTTGGCTTTCTCTAAAGTGTATTTTGCCGGTAATTTATACATTCGTTCGCCTGTCAAAATATTTCCAGTTCAATGCAAACGAAAGCGAAGAAAGAATTTCGCATTTATCATTGGTTCGCCAAAATAAATGACATTGGCTGTATTTCGTTAAATAATAAAAGTGAAATTGCTTTAACTTGCTTTTCGTTGTTGGAGCACATGTAAGCAACAAGGGAAAAAACGCAGCTGTCCATTAGAGACTCGAATTATAGGGGCTACTATAAAATTTAATACCGCCAATGCCAGGCAACTTAAAGAACATTCCTCGCCCTTTTATAATAATTTCAGGTAAACTTTCAAATTAACTAAACTCCATTGGAGGTTTTCTGATTTCTGATACACCACAATTTATTTTGTAATAGATAATAATTAACCCATACTCGATCAAATTGTTACCATTCCTTCTTTTGTTGCCCCATCGAAACTTAATATGCCTTGCTTAACATATTTATTGTTGTGTTTGAATTTAATAAACATGTCAAAATTTAGTTTATAAAATGCATATGAACATGCAAAATTGTTGCCGTTTGGTTAATTATTGGCTGTTCTAAACTATGTTTCCTGGCAGAAATTGTCGTTTCAAAATGCATTTATCTTGAAAGGAGGCAAAATCCGAAACCACAAATTCAGTGAGGTCAAGATTTTGAATAATTTGCTTACTAAAACAGCACCACAATTTGACAATTGATTAAACAGGACTTTGCGGTTCCTTTTAATGGAAAATGCAATTTATGTGGTTGGACTCGTGCTCTTTCAATGTTTTCTCCGAATTCTGCTAGGACATGAATCAGGTTACTCGAAATTCTGTCCGAATTAAGGGGAAACTTACCTATCCATTAACATTTTTAGTGTGCTCCGTTTAAGAATTAGAAGCACAAAAAAGATAATGCCGAAACCCAAATGGAAATAGTCGGTTACCTTGAGAACATCGTGCCAAAATCGAAATTATATTTAGGATCCAGGATACACCCATGACGACCGAGATGCGTAGAAACAGAAGGTATCTTTTGTCGGAAAATGGAATGAACATTAAGCTTGATTATCAATTCCAAAGTGAATATGCCTTACTTCTGAGTGTCGAAATTGAGGCAGGCTGTCGCCACCCCTTCCTGTTGTGAAAACCTTTTCAGTTCTCTCTTCACATTCAGAATGTGAAATGTTGTGAGTATTAAAATAACTAAATTAAAGGTACCTAGGATCAGTAAGGGTCCAAAATAGTATATCCACGCAGACCAGATGTCAGCTGTAATCGGATGAAAATTGTTCCTCAATTACGGTGTCGATAAAGATCTAGCTGCAAATAAAACTCACTTTTCACCGAACATGCAGCATAACCAACTAAGGGCATCCAATTCCTTTTATTTGGGTCATTCTCCCAAAAGTGATTCATCAGATAGATTGCTCCAGTCGGGATAGCAGCAGTGCCCCAAACCAAGGCGCTGCAGACCAGAAACCGATAACGAGGTTCATGGCGACTGACCGATCTCAATGTCTTCCATAAATGATAGCTAATTACAGAGTCCCATAGTCCAAAAGCCAAAAATAATTTCAAAAATTTACCTGCTGGAGAGAAAATACCGTTCAATAAATTCATATCATCCAGTACCGAGATAAGAAACTGCATAAATAGACTGAATAGGCTGCACATAATGCACTTGCCGAGCACATTCCGAATATCTTTTAGGAAAAGATATATTGCCATCGTGAGGATATAGCATATCATTGAATTAAGCATGACTGAAAAAACAGAAATAGTAGAAAAGGTAGTAGCGGAGGTTCTTTAGCTTTGTTTGGCCTTACTCTCTCGTCCTGCTGGCCTTATTGTCTTAGTGTATTTGTGTAAAACAATCCTTAAGGTCCTTCGAAAGTCCTGATCAAACTGATGGGGATTATTCCATTATTATTATTTATTAAGCCTCGTGTATGCTGCCATTCTAAAAAATTCGAATTAGAACGTAATATTGGGATAAATCGAGGGGCAAACCTGAAACAATATGTATTGCAGTTCGTTCAAGATGAGTTGTTCATCCCAGTCATTAAACTGTCCCCTTGTTACGTTCTCGTTGAAGAATTGTATTTGCCTCGATTCGTCCACGATTAGACCGTGTTTGACAAACTCAAGCTTCTTCTCCAACCCATCGTTGCACTCTGCATGTGACAATAGATTCTTTCGGGGGCAGCAAATCGGGGTCCTTAGCTTGGAGTCACTGCCTTGTGATACATATTTCCACTCTTCGGTATTTATTTTAAAGTCATACATTTGGGCACTGGTCATTCTGAAAATATTATTTGAGTAAAGAAGACCAAATCTTCTCGGTGGGCCAGCTAAGACTCGAATGACTTAATTTCTGGAAACGTTTTAGCTTTTCGAACTCACAAAAAATAAAAATGGAAGATTTCGCAGCTTTGTGAAATTTACAGTTTTACAGAAGTTACAGGTGTTAAAATGTTATATTTTCGTTACTTACCGAAATCCCCCGCCTTTTTTTTCGGCAAAGATTTCTCATCTTCGTTTAACCATCCTCATCTTCGTTTAAGAAACCGGCTCCATAGAAACCAAAATTTGACTGGCTCTCAATTGGCAAACTGCACAGTCTGATATAGTATTATATTGGAACCCAGTATTCTGAAATCAATGTCCAACGATAAACGAAATAAATGTTATCTGCAATTTACGTCCCCAGCGGGATTCTTCTGTGGTAAATAAATGTAATGCAAAACATTAGGAAATGTACATAATTATTATTGTTGAAACCACGCTCGTATTATTGACTTATTCCCTTAAGACTGGTTTTTGGAAACGCTCCTATCGTTAGGGGACTAAGGGAATTGAAATATGTTTTCAAAGGACTCTTTATGACGCGAAAATTGCGAAGTTATTAAATTATGGTCCCACGGTTCTAAGCTCTGCAAATAAATTCCATATACCGACTTACTGGTCGAGTTAAATATAAATACATACTTTAAAAATTCCACAACTTACCAAAACGCATTGGAGAAGTTGCAGGAACATAGAATCAACTGAAAAATTATTGGGATTAATGGTAAGGCTTATCACCTATCGAAAACCATCAGTTGGATTGAGAAGACTATTAAAAAAAGTCGTACTTTTCCATTTCAATCGCTTAGGAGATACGTTAAAGTCGAGTGCCTCGACTATAAGATACCCATTACTCAGTTACCAATTTCAAAATAAATTTGGCCAAGGTTGATGGCGCATTTTGACAATTTTTTGTGGTGCTATCTGTTGAGGAACCTCATAACTAATTATAATAATTTGGTATATTCAATAGCATGTAAGATATTCTTTTCTTGAGATGGTCTGGTCTCACTTTGTTATCGGTCTCGCTCTCTTCTTCCTGACCACGAGCTGTCAACATGTGAAATAAAAGCGTATATTCCTATTGTGAACTAATTGACTAATATTCTATCAACCCAATTTGAAGGTGGTCTTACAAACCATTTTAGCGTGATCTATTCACCATCATTGTCTGGTCCTTCGAGAGCCGGAATACTTCCGCATCTACAAACTGTTTAAGTATATGTACACACTATGGAGCAACAGACGCTTAAACGCCTTACCCAAGCACGTGGTCGGCTAAAGGCGACCGTAACTCGCTTGGTCAATTACATTGAGAATCCACCTCCACAGAGCACTTACTCCGGAGTCGATGCCATACTGGCCCGGCTAAATCAAGCCTTTAGAAGCCTTGAAAAGATCACTGACGAAATGCACGTGTACGATAATGTGGAGGGTTTCGAGGATCCTACCGAAGACTTCCAAGCCTATGAGGAGAAGTACCTGCGCGCGCTTACCTTATTCGCGTCGTTAAAGAGCGACCTTCAGCCAAGCGCCATACCTCAAGCGGATCACAACATGGCCATATTGCTGCAACAGCAAAGTGAGTTCTTGCAGCGACTTTCTGAGAACGGAGCATCTACCTTGGCCACGCCGCCGCCTGCTGCAGTTTGTTTAACTGAAAACCCGTTGCCGAAAATCCACATCAAACCCTTTGGTGGAGACTACAAGGAATGGCCAGCCTTTAAGGACATTTACGAGAGCACCGTCCACAACAAGACCCACCTGGGAAAGATTCAGAAGTTTCACTACCTTAAGTCTTTCATAGTTGGTGAAGCGGCCAATCTTCTCAGTCACATGTCCATTACGGAATCAGCTTATGATTCAGCATGGGAACGCCTCAATGATCGCTATGATCGCCCAAGGCATATCGTGAACTCCTTACTGGACACTTTCATGGCACTGGCTGCTGCACCCAACGGCGAGGTGTCTAATCTACGCAAACTTACTGATGGCGCCAATGAAATCATTCGTGGCCTAGATGCAGTTGGGGAGACCAGCCGTGACTGCTGGGTGATTCATCTTGTACTGGCTAAAATTGATCCCGACTCTAGAAGGAAGTGGATTGAGGACACCAGAGGCTCAGCGACACCAACCGTTGCCGACTTGTTTAGATTCCTTGATGATCGTTGCGAGGATTTTGAATTAAGCCAAGCTACATCGGCAATCAAACTCGATCCTGGCAGCCACACGGACAAGCCTGCCAAAGCGAAGCGCGCACTTATTGCAGTGAACCGTGGCAATTGTGGTAAGTGTGGCTCTGCTGACCATCAGCTGTATAGATGCTCTCAATTTCAAAATCTGAACACTGAACATCGGCGCTCCTTTGTGAAAGGAAAGTCGCTTTGCTTCAATTGCCTACGCCCTGGCCACCGATCTTCACAATGTCAATCGAAACATTCGTGCAAGCACTGCAATGGCCGTCATCATTCTCTTGTACATCCTGAAAACATGGATTCCATGACAGTTGCTCCTGCGGACACTGCACAGGCCAGTCCTCAAACTTCTGGATGTAGCTCAACTTTGGTCGCCCAGACGCAAAACAGCAGCTCATTAACACAGTCACCGGGACTCAAAAGAAGCACATTGCCCACAGCTTTGGTGTATGTCCAAAACTATAAAGGGACTTACACAATTTGCCGTGTGCTTTTGGATAGCGGCTCTGAGCTATCCTACGTTTCTGAACGATGAAGAATACTAGTTTCCGGAATATCTTCCGTCAAGGCCGAAACTACAAGAGGATTGGCAACGCTGCATATCAAGTCAATGGTGTCACTCCAGACGATTGTTGTCGCAGCCCATGTGCTGGGCAAAATCACATCATCACTTCAGCGGGACGACATTAACGAAAAAGCTTTAAGGATCTACGATGGACTCCAGTTAGCTGATACTTCGTTTAACACATCTTCATCTGTAGACATTTTACTGGGAAACGAACAAATTTGGTCCGTTTTGTCAGGTGATAAAAAATATGACACCGCTGGAAATATTATTGCCATCAGCTCAATCTTTGGATGGATAATCACTTCCGTTGCAATGCCGCATCCATCAACCGCCAACACGCTCATGACTACTGTTGACATAAACGCCTCTCTTCAACGCTTTTGGGAGATCGAGGATAACACTGAGCATACACAACGAGACCCTTCGCACGCAAAGGTGGAGCAGTACTTTCTGACCACACATTCCCGAGACCCAGACGGCAAATACATCGTTGAATTGCCTTTTAAACACGAATGCCAAGAGTTCGGAGACAGCCTGCAGGGCGCTGTCTCGCGCTTCTATGCTGTGGAACGTCGCTTGCAGCGTGATTTGGAGCTACGCAAGCAATATTCAAAATTTATGAACGAGTATCTAAGCCTAGGTCATATGCGTAAGCTGGCCCCTGAAGAATGCAACACATCAGCCAAAACATTTTACATGCCACACCACCCAGTTCTAGGAAAGAAGCTGCGCGTGGTATTTGACGGGTCATTTGAAGACGTAAACGGACATGCTCTAAATGACGCCTTACACATCGGACCCAGCATACAACGCAACCTTTTTCATGTATGCCTTCGCTTTCGAATGCACAAGTTTGTGTTTTCGGCGGACATAGTTAAAATGTTTCGCCAGATCTGGGTTGCCCCTCAGCACCGCAACTTTCAACGGATCGTATGGAGAGAAGCTCCGAAAGATCCTCTTCAACACTTTCAACTCTGTACAGTCACCTATGGAACAAGCTGTGCACCGTTTCTTGCTGTCAGAGTACTGGAACAACTAGCGCGAGACCACCACGATGAGTTTCCCACAGCCTCAAAAAATTGTGCTTGAGGACTTTTACGTAGACGATGTCCTCACCGGCGCTGAAACTGAAGACGAACTACTTAGCTGCCGCGACGAACTCATCCAGTTGATGTCCAAGGCTAAGCTTGAGCTTGGCAAATGGGTGTCTAACAGCAGCGTCACCAGCCACACCCGGCAAGACGAGCTCCAGATAACCAGTGCGGTTAAAGTTTTAGGAATGCTATGGAATCCCCAAGACGACGTCCTGTCCTACAAAGCTTCACTTTCTACGGAGCCAGATGCTACTAAACGGCAAGTATTGTCAGATGTCTCACGAATTTTTGATCCTTTAGGTATTCTGGCGCCTTTGGTAGTGTAGTTCAAGATCCTTTTTCAAGAACTCTGGCTACTTGACCTGGACTGGGATTCCAAACTCCCACCGAAGCTGGCTGAGTGGTGGCAGACCTGTCGCGACGATATCAACTACATAACAAACCTAAGGATTCCACGTTATGTACACAACGAATCGGAAAAAATCGAATTACATGGATTTTCAGATGCATCTATAAAGGCATATTCCGCTGTCGTCTACAGCCGTGTAAGCAACGCGGACGGCACCTGCTTGGTGTCCCTTATGGCAGCTAAAACACGCGTTGCGCCACTAAAGCAACAAAGTCTTCCACGGCTGGAACTCTGTGGTGCACTATTGCTCACTCGCCTTCTCCGGGCTGTTAAAGAAGGCTTGCATCACAAGGATATAGTTGTGCATGCTTGGTGCGATTCCACGATTGTCCTTTCGTGGCTGTCGCACACCCATCGAAGCTGAAAACCTTTATCGCCAACCGTACTTCGGAGATCCTGGATGTCATACCACGCAGCGCATGGCATCACGTTGGCTCAAAGGATAACCCTGCCGATTGCGCATCGAGGGGAATGCTAGCAGCCAATCTCATGAGCTATGAGCTGTGGTGGAATGGACCACATTGGCTACACCTCAACGATCTGCTTGCTTCAAAGCTGCGTAGTGGCAACAATCCCACAACAATTTTGGACACGCCCATAATGGACGGGCTGAAATCCTCTTCACTATCCAGCCGCGTTGAACCTGAACCTGAAGCGTCCCCGATTGAGTGCCTATCGTTTCGAGTTTCTTCCTGGACCAAGCTGATTCGCTGCACTGCTTATGTTTTACGGTTTATGCATCGAAGAATGAAGAAACGGATTCCGTCAAACCTCACACTCACGTTTGAGGAAATCAGCGAGGCCCGCATTTATTGTCTAAGGCACGCTCAAGGAAGCTTCTCATCCGATCTACACCTGTTGCAAAGGGGAAAAGCTGTTGTAAATTCGTCAACACTTCGAACACTCTCACCCATGGTTTGCAAGAATGGCCTGCTTCGTGTATGTGGGCGCCTCTCAAACTCGCTACTACCGGAGGAAGTCAAGCATCCAATTATTCTGCCGAAACATCATCGCATTTCTCTGCTAATTTTGGAACACGAGCACAGGATACATCTTCATCCAGGTGTGACAGCACTTTTCTTCATCGTTCGCCAACAATATTGGATAGTTGGCGCACGCAACATGATTCGCAAGCTTACACATGCTTGTCTCAAATGTTTTCGCCAACGCCACAAAACAACTGATCAATACATGGCTGACTTGCCAGCCGTTCGGGTACGTCAAGCATACCCATTTGAAAATACTGGGTGCGACTATGCCGGACCGCTTCTACTCAAGGTGCACAAGGGACGGAATCCACGAAAGGAAAAGGGATACATTTGTCTATTCGTCTGCCTAGTGACCTCCGCAATCCACTTGGAGTTGGCTACAGATCTCAGCACGGAGACATTTCTCGCTGCACTTCGTCGTTTTGTCTCCCGTCGAGGCAAGTGTACCCACATCTTCAGCGACAACGGTCGCAACTTTGTGGGAGCAAAGAAGGTGTTAGACGAAATGTATAAGCTCATCCTGTCGCAGCAGCATAACACTCAAGTAACCCAAGCGTTGGCCAGTGAGGGTATCAGATGGAGTTTTATACCAACGCACGCACCCCACTGGGGCGGAAAATGGGAATCAGCTGTTCGCTCCGTAAAGCTTCATCTGCGTCGTGTCATCGGGAATTCTATCCTCACATTTGAGCAAATGCACACCCTTCTGGCTCAAATTGAATCCGTCGTCAATTCACGCCCTCTCTTCGCTACGTCAGACATCGAGGTTTCCTACTTGTCACCCGCACATCTGCTGATTGGACGCCCTTATACATCAGTTCCAGAGGGCGATCTTGGCCACATAGCAGTTAACCGACTGGATTACTGGCAAAATGTACAGGCAATGCTACAAGGCTTTTGGAAGAGATGGCATCAGGAGTACCTCACTACACTTCAACAGCGCCCTAAGTGGAATACAGAAAGGAAGAACATTGCTACTGGGGATATGGCGATCATCAAGGATTCAAACACACCCCCCGCCGCTTGGACTTTGGCGCGCATAATTGAAGTCTACCCAGGCAAGGACGGGCTGGTACGGGCCGTAAAGCTGCGAACTTCATCAGGAGAACTTGTTAGACCCATTTCTAAAATTGCCATCCTGCCTAATTCAGAAACTTAGTTTCAGGGTGGGCCGGGATGTTGAGGAACCTCATAACTAATTATAATAATTTGGTATATTCAATAGCATGTAAGATATTCTTTTCTGAGATGGTCTGGTCTCACTTTGTTATCGGTCTCGCTCTCTTCTTCCTGACCACGAGCTGTCAACATGTGAAATAAAAGCGTATATTCCTATTGTGAACTAATTGACTAATATTCTATCAACCCAATTTGAAGGTGGTCTTACAAACCATTTTAGCGTGATCTAT